TGTTCAGTACAAACATATATTCATAAAAAGCATGCTTTAAGCCTGTAACACTGAAATTATAATAATGAAGCAAAGGAAACACCTTTCAGAATTTAAAAAGGGGAATTTTGAGTAAAAATCCAGTTCTGCACGTGCATTCAAACAGATTGAGCAATAAATCAATAGCATTATGTATAGAGCAATGTTAGAACTATAAGACAACTTTTCCCTGTTCATATCTGCTACATAATAGTAATAACTCATGGCTTTTTTCTCCTCTAAGCAATACTGAAAAGCTATTACTATTGACTCAGAGAAATAGGTCTCAAATGGAAACGTAGATCTCCTATAGTTTATTCTTTATGTCTACTCATGAGTCAGTTCTAAAACAAAATTAGTAGCACTGCAATCAAAGCCGTAATTACTGAATAGTACCTAGATGGCAACTCATGCTATAGAAAGGTAAAAGACTTTCACGATACCTGAAACTGGAGCAGCTTTATTTAGCAAGCCCACATCCTCTTCAAATTCTGTGGCAAATACTGAGGAAGGCAACTTAATAGATGGAGCCTTAAAAAAAAAACAACAAAAAATCCATACCACAATGCACCTGTTCTCAGTTGAGCTCACTTAACAACATGCAGATAATCATGTGATCAAAAGAAACTCTGCAAGTGCTACTTAAATATTACAAGAACCACTACTTCATTGGTGTCAAATTTTCAAGTTATTGAAAATTTTTATTTAAATTTTTCAAGTTATGCAATGAAAGCTAGGTACAGCATTGGCAGTACTCGTTCTGATATAAATATTCTCTACGTACTGAGACAGCATTTTTATATCTCTGAAGATTTTTGAGGAATGGAAAGCACAGAGAAATTTTTAATTTTCTTTAGGAGAACAATAACATACATTTGAAAATACCACTTTATCGTAAGGCTTGCTAACATGTACCTCTAAAGTAACTTTAAATCTTACACAGTGTCACCAAACCGTACCTGAAAGGTACTTCCGACTAAGAACATCACTTGGGACTAAAAGTACAGTATTTTGTTAAACCACACTCCCTCAATTAAAAGCAACTGAATGGCAACTGCATATTTTATTGCTTAAAACGACATTTCCCACTCCAACACGATCCAGTTATGCCAGCAATAGGAAGCTTCATTTATATCCTCTCTGGGTTTTGATACACTCCATTAAAAAAAAAAACAAACAACAGGTTATATTAGCAGTACCCCATATTCCTAACTCCCAGAGCATTCAAAAGCTTTAAAATTCTTCAGAACAAATGCCAACCCCAGAGCAACATAATTTGCTCAAATACCTCTGTAAGAGGTCAATACTCTATCAAGAAAAGCTTATCATGAGCACATAAGATATTTTAACACCAGGGTAGCAAAATACTGACCATCAACAGATCTTGGCTTGTCAACTTTTATTTTTACTTGTAGGAAAGTCTGACTGTGGATCAAGAGCATCCTTCACGTATAGGCCACAGTCACCATAACACCTGTTGAATATGATTAATTGTCTACAGGACGCTTCTCTCAACAGTACAAAATAAGATGATTAGTAGCAAAGTACCACTTACTGCAATTCGTTGAATTTCATCCTCTATGTGACCCTCATTCGTGATGATAATTCTGCTTTGCTGTCCACGCACAGAAGGGACAAGCTCTGAGGGACCAGAGGCTTCTTTCAGATGCTGCAAGTAGTCATAGTCATCATCGAAGAAGACTCCATACTTCCGCTGCTCTTCTCTCCTCCGCTCATCTTGACCCTCGGAATTGTAAGAAAAAATTCAATTAGTTATTCAAGTCGATTTAATACTTATCAGCAAAAAGAAGAGCAACGCATCCACTGATAATGCCACTGACGATAACTAACCAATTAAGAAAAACAAAAACCAACAACCAGCCTAATTCCTCCCTGCTGAAAACAGCTTTTGGAGAAAAAAAAAAAAAAAAAGCAGCAATAAAATTAGGCTTAAGATACGTACATTGAGAAGGAAACCCCTGATTAAAACAGCACTGGTTATGTTCACTTACGTGAAAAAAATGTATTAGGAGTAAGAACTAGAGTACTGTGAATTGGATCCAAATGAACTTGGAAGTGAACTTGGATCCAAGTATGCTGACTCCACAGCAGTTCTTAGTCACCTCTCTGCTCATTATCCTACTACACTGTAAATGAGAACGTTGTAACCATCTGCTTCAGCACTTAAATAACTTCTTCTACACACAGCAAAACTAACACAGCCTGTTTTTTCCAGGCTGGGTTGGTCAACGTTTGCGGATACGAATGTATTTTAAAAAAGAAATAAAGCCACGCCAGTTACCCCTCCTTAACCCACCAGTGACTCACAACTACCAAATCCCTACCACATCTCCTTCTTTTTAATAAGCTGGACTAAACCCCATCTCCTTTCAGCCTATGGCTCTGAGCTGTCCGATGGCGCAGCACTTTTCCCCCCTGCAGCCCTTTTCGCCTGAGAGAGCCCCAGCGCCGAAGCCGGGCGGTTACTTTCTGTGCGGGCAGCAGCACTCTCTGCGGGGCGGTGTCATCCGCGGCGAGCGGGTCCCGCTGGCTCCTGTGCACCAGGTGGAACGTCACCGCCTTCTTCTTCTCGATGAACGGCCTCTTCTTCTTGTGAGGCTGCGGGAGGACAGCCGGTTAAGCGACGATACAACACCACAGACAAGCGCGGGGCCGTTAGGGAGCCGTTAGGGAGCCGTTACGGAGCCGTTACGGAGCCGTTAGGGAGCGGCACGCGCCCCCCCCCCCCCCCGGTACTCACCATGTTGGCCCGGCCCCGGCCCCCTCACGCTCACACTCACGCGGAGCCGGCCTCAGCACGGCCTCCGCTTTGGGAGCAACCACCGGCCGAGAGGGGGGAACCCGACACGGTGCCACTGCTGCAGAGGAGCCGTTTTCCCGCAAGGAACAACACCGACGAGCTTTTTCTGAACGAAGTTGATATTTAAATGGAGAGAGAGCCCCTTAAACGCATCAAGGGTACCTGGAAAATCTCCACAGACACATCTTCTCCCCTCGTCCCCCCCCCCCAAAGCTAGCAAGGAGTGGTTCCGCCCGAGGGCGGGCCGCAATGGCGGAAGAGGAGGAGCGGGCCAAGGGGCCGAGCGCACGCGCAGTCGCGGGAGGGCGGGGGCGAAGGAAGGGGCCGGAGCGGGCCGACGAGGGGGCGTGGCTACCCGCCAATGGGCGGGGCTATCCGCCAAGGGGGCGTGGCTTGGCACTCAGGCCCTGCCCCCTCCGCACCCATTCGGAGCGGTGCGGAGCGGTGCGGAGGGGGGGGGTGTGTGGTGCGGAGCTTTCATTTCATTTCTTTCGTTTCGTTTCATTCTTTCGTTTCGTTTCATCTCGTTTCGTTTCCATGTAACTTTTAATTCCGTCTCTGGAGACTGCTTCCCAGCAAGGAGCTGCTCCCTGAATGTCACTCCCATCGCACATACCCCATGTGCTTGCCGGAAGGTTCAAGAACAGAAATGTTTTCTGTAAAGATTTTCTGAACAAGTTTATTGAGGTAATTCGCTTCATTTTATATTTACTGATATTCACTCATATATATCTATAAATCAAAGAGCTCGTCTAAGGCACTTGGAGCTGCACACAGCAGCGTACCCCACGGTACTGTACAACCAGGCAGCACACATTTTTTTGCTTGTGAAATAAAACCACCATAAAAGAAGCACAGTCTATGCCATGTATAAAAAAAGATAGCACATATTCTATTTTCAGATAACATGATTGGAATATATTTGTGTGTACGCGTGTGTATGTGTTTATAGGTATATACTACCACACAGACAAAACCCCAAGAAGCAGCTACGATTTGTAGCATTTCCAGTTATTTACATTCACAAATATCCACACACCTGTCTAAAATGCAGTATCAGACCAGCCACTTCTTTAGAATTACCATATTCAATCACTTTAAGTCAAAGAGCTAAAATACAAGTAAATGCATTAATTTTATAATTCTTATTTAAAACACCCTCTGCATAAGCTGAAAAGTTTGGGGGTATTGATTCTCCATAGCCTCCCATCTTCTGAAAGTCATTGAACATGTGGAAAGTACATTGCAAAAGGCCAGGTACATTTTTTATAGTCATCAATAACTATCCAGCGTGATGAGCAGTGGGGAATGAAGCCAGGAATTTTGTTTGCTTTATTTTACTTGTAAATGGGAGCACCTGGTGAAACTCAAGCAAATTACTTTGAGCACAGTTTGTTTCTATTTTTATTCACATTAATAAAAACATTAAAGAACTGGCCCGATGCCTGTTGGTAGGTGACACTCTCCATTACATGCTGCAAAATATTAGTCCTGATGACTTCCCCTGAAAAGGCAGTACGATCAAAATTTCATCTCAGGCAATTGTAGCCACAATCCTCCTCACAGTAAATTCAGCATGTAAGAACCTCCTGGCTTTTGGAAGGTAAGAACCTTCCAAAGACCCTGCTGGAGCTGAGCCACCAGCACCTGCAGTGGATGGGTCACCCAGCCCTTGGGCATCACCTCTCAGAGGTGCCCTCGCAGGCTGGAGTGAGAATCGAGGGATCAAGGGTGCTCAGTACTGAGCAGTGCCCTGGGCCTGGCCATCAGCTGCAGCTCTGCCACAGAAAACGGAGGTTCTTGAAAGCTCTTTTTTTGAGGTAAGTGTGGGTCTATGAAACATGGCATATTAATACTGCTATACAGAGTAAAGCAGTTGGATGTGATGGTCTTTGTAGGTCCTTTCCAACTGACCTATTCTATTCTATTCTATTCTATTCTATTCTATTCTATTCTATTCTATTCTATTCTATTCTATTCTATTCTATTCTATTCTATTCTATTCTATACTTCTCTTCAAGCAATTGCTCTATAAAAAAATGGAAAGGGACATAAACTTGAGCCACCTCCACACCCTTCCCACCCCAAATCATCCAGATGCCTGTTGAGACAATCCATTGACGTCTTTTAGTTTTGTTTAAAATCATAACAGCTAAAATAATTGTCCAAAACACAGTATTTCTTTAATTCCAAAATTTATACAAGTTTACAAATCAATATACCACCACACAAAGTAGTGAAAGGAAGAGAAGATATGTTTAGAAACATTTTACTATAACAATGCTCAAATATGGTTAAATTTGACATAGTATTGCAAGGCTTTTTATATAAAGAATTAATGATTGAACAAGGAGATACAGAGAATACCATTAATTTCTTTGTTCCTATCCAATGCAATATTTAGCTTCTAGAAAACAATGAAATATTGGTGAAATGGCATATCTAGTTCGTATGAGCTCTATTTCCATTAAAATCCTGAAACAAGATGGGAACACTGACAAAATGAAACAAGACCTCATTAATCATTAAAGTTAATAAATAGAAATCTGTCAAAACATTACAGTGAAATGTATTTACTCTGTTCCTCCCTTTTTCTATATAGATACACTTCCATATTTTTTCCAGGTGCCTGTTAAATAGAAACTTTGATGTGTTCTGGGGAATTTACTTTTCTTTTTATTTGACCCTTGAAATATTTTAGTATCAACCTAATAAAAACTTTCAGAATTGCTTTTATTTTTGTTGTCTATCAAAAGCTAGGTCCCAGCAGTAAATATTGCACTGAGCTTTGTACAATAAAAATACAGATAGCAACAATAACAGAGTTAAATGTGAGAGCTCCTAAAGGCAGGAGGCAAGTTTATTCTGTTTTTCACCCTGAGTACATCTTTATTTTAGTTCACAGCAGCGGCACAGATCTTAACTCCATGAGATACAAATAAAAAATGATGATGTGAAAGCAGTAAATGTCACAGTCCTGGTAGACCTGGCAACTTAATGCAAATGTAGGCTTTGAGCTTGGTTTATGTTACAATGAAAGCATTAGCACGCACGTGAGGAGAAGGGCTCTCATCCCTACTTTGGACTCCAGCAGTGCTCAGCTGCTGGGGGTCCTGGGGGCTGTGGGCACCCAGGCTGCCACATCCCAGCCTGGCCTGATTAGACATGATGTTTTAATCATCTGTTCTGTTATGATACAAAACTGGGGCTCAGGCCATATTTATAACCAGGCAGAGAGCTGCCCAAAGTACCTGCCCTGCAGCAAGGAGCAGGCAGAGCCGTAGGCAAATGATAAATCCAGCAAACAAATGCAGCCTTGCAGACTGGCAAGTGGCTGTGAATACATTCAGTGATTTGGAAGAGACACAGCTCCTGGTCCTACATCATTTCAAACCACAGCTTGAAATGGTTTTTAGCATAAATAATCACTGGCATTTAGCTTTTTTTTTTTTTTTTTTTTTTTTTTCCTACTTGTTGACTCTGCACATTTATCACATTCCGAGGAACTTCAAATACTCTGTTTTTCATTTGAAATAATAGATTTCAATTATAAGGACTAAATATAAGGACTTTCATACTACCTGAAAGCAGACGGGCATCCTAGAATCATTTCAACTGGTTTTGTGAAGAACAAATTAGGATTCGCCTAAGTATCCATTCCCCTACACCTACAGCTGCAATGCACGATCACGCCAATAAACATGACCCAGGGGTTGGTTCAGAAACCACAATTTCAGGCCACTCGTTTTCTCTTGTGTGGGTGTAGACATCTGAGTTCATATCTGACTTTGTGGAACATAAGTATGTGCATAAGATTTCTCACAGGTTTTGGATGACATTTAAATGAACCGTCCAACCTCGTAAAAATTAACATGTTGATCTCTTTTAGCCAGCTCAATGGTACTACTTGTTGCATGAGAAGTGCTGTTTTTTTCTTTGCCCTTTCTACGTCTTCTGATTTTTTTCCACAAGGATTGCTCACTCAGGAGTTTCTCGGAACTTGTCCTGATTTTTCCCTGCTGACAGGCGTGCAGCATCATGGAGAGTTAGTTACATTACATGTTCTTTCCAACAGGCTGTTGTAGCAACTTGAAGATGTTTAAAATCATCAATTCAGAGGACCAGAAGATATAGCAGAAGCTCTGCTTTAGGTAGATCAATAAGGTAAAGCAAACTTCATAATGCTTCATAGTGACATACCAAAATCTTACTTTTTATTGCACGGGTAACATTTTACATCTGTTGCTGTCCTGCCAGTTGATATTTAGAATACAAAAATAATATGTACAATTCTAAGCCTGTGCATGAGTACAATACACAATGGATAGTTTATAGTTCTGATTCTGCATATATACTACATTTTTTACAAAGGTCCCAATAAAGGCAACTCTTTTTGTCCAGTTACATACATGTACATTTGCTTAAGTAATTGGCTGAACCATGGGCCAAAGAATGCATCTGATTATTTATCATGGAAGTATTAAGAAATTACATGAGAAATAAAGGATAACTCAGCATCTCCAGCCAGGCTAGTACCCTGCCGGTAGCAATGGCTTGTAGTGAATACTTTGTTGTTGTTGTTTTAATAAAAAAAAAAGAAACCAGGAGGAGGATAGCCTAAGTGATGCCTCACCTATGTATCCTCATGCCTTATGGCAAAACACAGCTTGAGAAAGCCTGTGACAGAAGTTGTATCCTCATCGCTGTGTCTTAGTTCTGAAATGAGAAGGCGGCATGTTTCTTGCTGTCCATGTTCCTGGTTTGGTGTGGAGGAATGTCTTCTTGCAGTGTCACTTGGTTCACTTCATCCTAGTAGCCTAACAAATGTTAGTTCACTGTTGTATGCACTGCTCCTTGCATACCCTGGCATGTCAGTGAAGTAGCTACCTTTTGTCAAGCTGATATGGTCTGACCTGACCTTGGCCAAAGCGACTTGGTCTGTGCCCCAGCTATCTTTCTGCCTTGTGTATCTTGGCTTCTTCCAAATGTTTGAAAGTGATTAAGGCAGCACTGATGTCTACTTAATTGTTCCAACTTGTTTTCTTTGAAGTATTGTGTTTTATACTTAAAAGTCAACATAGTAGACCTTTATAGGATTTTGGACACACACTTCCAAATTTGGCAACAAAAAAAAGAAGCCTTAGGCAGGAGAATTATTTATTAAGTGCTAGTGTAAGCTTTTAAGTTTGGTCTTCAAATTCTAAAAATAAGAATAAGGATTCTACCAGAATTGCTGACAAACCTTCACTCTAATGCCCTGATCATTTCTGTATAATTTAGTGCCAAAGAATACATTTTCACTGCTTCCTTGATGTCAAAGTGGTGTTTCTATATTTATAAAATGATGGGACACTGCAGAAGCTGAACTCTTTTCTGCAAATGGAATCCTAATGCCTCTCATTGATTCCATTAAAAAAGGAAGGTGCTCATCCCTCTTCTTTGCTACAAGCATGTAGATGGCTATTTTATTTGGTTATTGATATTTTTGGGTTGTACGTCATTGGATTTTTACTAAGATGGAAGCAATTCTAATAGTTATATAAATCTGTTGTGTTTTTTTAAAGGTTTGTCAAATCATTTAAAAATAATGGGATGCCAGCTGTTGGAAAGCACTCTCCTGTTACTTCAAGTGCTCTTTACTAAAATAATCCACCACATTTATGCAAACCTGATCTTGCTGTAAATATCAGGAAAGAGGGAGATCTAATTAAAGCAACTAAATTGCCTTCCTGCCTTTAGGCTGACATCTAAAACAACAAAACCGCCAATTCTATAACGTAAAAACATTCCACAAGAATCTACTGCAGGTTCTGAGGTAAGAATCACATCTACACAGACCTTTTATTGCCTGAAAAAGAAATACTTACACTTCATAATTAAAAAACTAAACAGGGCACATAAAAGACAAAAATAAATTGTAATATGTACACACATTAGAAAGGATAAATAGCATATATACTGTAATACTGCATTAAATGTATGCATATGTGAATTCCAGGAACCCTCCCCCCCCAAATGTTGTGTACATTAATTCAAAGGATAAATAAGTGCTAATATATGACAGAGAATTCCTTAGTGTAAACAATGCCACAGGCTTTTAATAGGCTTTTGTGCCAACTTACAAAAAGCATGTATTGCCTTTCACACTCCATACCACTTAATTTGAATAGCACTGTCTTCACATACACAATTTCAAGATAGTATAAAAAATTATGGGTCTAGGAAGCATTCTTCACACTGAGCAACAACAGGCTGCAGACGCTCTAAGGATTTTCGGTTAGCTTTCACGAGACCGCGGGCTGAAGACACAGATTCCCCCCCGAGTCCTTCCTAAAAGCAGTGCAAAGGTTCTTACATGTAAAACATCACATCAGCAACCACTGCTCAAACCTGCCAGTAAGGACTTCTGTGCCCCGTTCCAATTCTAAGTTCAGACTCACGCTAGCGTGATGTTGAAGCTGCCACTACTGCCTGCCATAGGTGCAGAAGATAGCGATCCCTCTGGCTTGAATGACAAATGACAGGTGGAAAGGAGTGTTTCTAAACACGAATCGCTTCATTGCATTCATAGTGTCGCGTGTCCTTTGTCCTTCGAATCCTGTTTACGTATTTCCGAGGATCCAGAGCACATCAACATTAAAAAATGAAAAATATATGACTTGTTCTGTATGAACATTCAATGTATTTTCTTGAAGCATGCTCATCAGGATTTTAAAAAAGACATCTGAGTTATAATAGGACTAATTTCTGGCAACTGTATTTACTGGCACCAGAGAAAATTACAGTTCTTCACTAAAGTACTGATGACATGAGGACTTGTGGCTTTCTGTCTTCCTCAGACAGGCTGTGGCCACTAAAAACTACATGCACAGCTGCTCATACTCTCCTTTTTCTTTTTTTTTTCTTTTAAATGATTCCTCCCACTGGCCAAGTGCATCCCTATGCAGTGCCACCCACCCCTGACTGACAAGGGAAGTCTCTCCCCCCGCTCTCCCAGTCCTTTTCACACTCCCCCCTGAGTTACCCTCAGTCACAATGCCACAAGCTCTGATGAGTTCTTGGCCGCAGGCTCTCAAGCGATTGTCTTCTGCTCTTCCTGACTTGTCAAGCTCCGAGGAAAAAGGCCATCAACGTCTCTCTGTGGGGTGGTCACAGGACCACCCTCTGTCTTAGCATCAAGATGTATCTTTGTTAAAACAAACACTTCATGTGGGTTCTGCTCCTAGTCAAATCATTTGTTCATTGATAAAGACAAGGGCCATATCCTTCATTAACCTCAGGGCAAGCTGCAAGACATGCTCACACTCAGTCAAGTTCCAGTGCAATCTCGGGTCTTCAGGACGCAATGATTTCCCCAAAGAAAATTGTTACATGAAACATGGGATGTGGTCGAACAATTATGGACGATGAAACCTGAAATGATAAACCATTCAGAATTATATTGCTGCAGCCGACACAGGGCTATGGTGAGGCTCAGGAACCGGAGTATGTCTGTCCATATCATACTCAAGGCCGCACCTCGAGTACTTCAGTTTTGGGCCCGTCACTACAAGAAGGATATCGAGGACTTGGAGTGTGTCCAGAGAAGGACAACAAAACTGGTGAGGGTTCTGGACCACAAGTCCTGTGAGGAGCGGCTGAGGGAACTGGGGGTGTTTAGTCTGGAGAAGAGGAGGCTCAGGGAGAGCTGACTACACTCTACAACTTCCTGAAGGGAGGTTGTGATGAGGAGGGGGTCAGCCTCTTCTCTCAGATAACTAATGATAGGACTAGAGGGAATGGCCACAAGTTGCACCAGGAAGGTTTAGTTTGGATATCAGGAAAAGCTTTTTCTCTCAGAGTGGTCAGGCGCTGAAACAGCCTGCCCAGGGAGGTGGTGGGGTCACCATCCCTCGTGGTGTTCAAGAAGCACCTGGATGAGGTGCTACAAGATATGATTTAGTAGCTTAGTGGGTAGTATTGGTGATAGGAAGACACTTGGACTAGATGATCTTGTAGGTCCTTTCCAACCTTGTGTTTCTGTGATTCACCTGTTACCATGGTCCCTAGCATAGCTTTGCTTGCGTTAACCACCACTCTTCCAGACGCTGCCTCGGCATGGCGGGATGAGCGCAGGCCAAGGGGCAGACTGGACATTGGAGAACACCACAACAACTTGCCTGGTGGTGGTGGGGAAGAGGTTAGCCCCAGGAATTCAAGCCATGCCCAACCTGCTGGCCTTAGGGCTGGAGAAGAGCTTCCAGTCCGCTTTGTCTACCAGCACAGCCTCAGTCACGTTGCACGTACTATTTGGAGATACTGTCAGTAAACCAGAAAAGCCTTGCTGAGCCATAAAACTTAACTTTTAGTATTTCAATCCTTCTGCCAAATAAGGCTAACAAAATATTTTTTTTATTATTTATTTATTTATTTATTTTTAAGGAAGAAACAGATTTTATAGCACTGCAGATGCTTTCTTCCTATTTTTGCCAGCTGTGGCAGATAAAGACCCAAACATACCTTGCTGTTTTTTTTAAGAGTTTTAGGTAAGGCCTGTACATTCACTCCAGATTATCTGTATGAAGGACAGAGAGACGTGGGTTGCACAAAGGGTGTCACCAATCTTTTCTAGAATACGTTGGGAGCCTACTTGAAAGGTTTATGAAAGTTTTTAACATGTTTTCTCCTAATAGATCCAGAAAAAAGAAAACAAGCCCCACATGATCTCAGCGATGTGGTACAGCACAATACAGAGATGCAGTTTCCAAATACAGGAGATGCACACAAAAGCTGACATTCACAAGGATGCAGCTCATCTGCTACGTGAGGGTACAGTGCATTGCAAAAAAGACTCAGGGTTTTTGTATTTGTGTAGAACAACAATATATTGGACTATATATAGTATTTCCATTAGAAGCATTTTATAAGCATCTGCTAATGTCCTCTTCCCAAACTTTTGTTTATTCCTGTATTTTTAGAAACTCAGTTTCTTGGATTGTGTTACAAAATAACAGAAGGAATCAATCTAAATTACTAGTAGAAAAACCATTCCACTGACAGTCATTACAGTAAATCATGAAAAACGAAAAACAGTGGCTTTTCTTTCCCAAGTTTAACATCAAATTTGAACAATTCAAAGATACTGTGAATAGTGACTATAATAATAGAGCTTCTTATACCAATTAATTAATTGTATGTTGTAAGACATTTTTGTTTAATAAGAAGCTTTATTTTTGTCTCATTCTATCACAGAACTTCACAAATAAACATTTGTTAACCTGCTGCACATGCAAGGTTGCATTATCTCAGTCATCATCCTTCAAAACATTTTTTTTTTTTTTAAAAAAAAAAGACTGACTTCTTCTCTGGCTGGAGACTTTTGTCTACAGTTTTCATAAACAAATCACTTTATTGTTGCATCAATCCAAATATAATTGTGAACTACATAATTTTTAATGAGAGGTCCAGGAGGAAACTGAACCTCTATATGTTCAAAACTGCAACTGACTTAAAACATCTGCATTAATTTAACTACCTTAATGGGCTTTTCCTAGTGTGACTCTATTTAGAGTTTTGTACAGTGGCTCCACAACACATCCAGTGAAAATAAAGGGTAGGGAGGGAGCAAGGAGAATCTGATCTCCCTCAGGTTGAAATTCCTCCAGGACCCTACAGATTCATTGCCTGTATTTATCACAATCTGGCCATGCCTATTTTTGACTCTATTTTTCAAGGCCCTCCTCAAAAAAAGTTTTCACTTAAAAAAAATCCCTGAGATTTTTGGTTCAGCTTTCAAGAATACAACTGTAACCAGTCTCAACTGTTTTCAATTCTAGTGAAAAAGTATCTGATTCTTTTTGTGTGACTCATGCATATCCACACTTATGCTCCTATACTGCAGTGCAACTCAGAAAATCAAACAACTTCAGCAAGAGGTTGCACTTCATCTCTCTCAGCACACAGAAAGATTTCTATTCCTGCTCATTTTCCTTTTCTCACTTGTGAAGTCTATTTTTTTTTTAATTACTACTGCTATAGTTCTGAAGAAGATACACTTCCTACTACCTGAAAAGATAATGACCCTCAGAAGCCAAATGAGAATATAGAAATCCATATCTGAAAAGGACATTTTCTAATTGTCAGAATGTGACACTTCATTAAATCCCTGCCTCTTTTTTCATCTCCTGGCTTAGTTTTGCTCTCTGTGAAAGTGGTTTATTTTTTGAAAATTATTTTTTTCATATTATATCTACATGGAAGTGTGTATATATTATTACTTAAAAAAACATGTTTTGGTGAAAAAAGATCAGTAAAGTTGTGAAACCAAGCTCTAAATTAGGAAATGCCAGAAATCACCAAACACCCATTTCTCGTTGTGAATTTTAATTTTGATATTCTCTTTAATTACAGGATTCACACTCACCTCCTAGGATTTTAAATTTGACTGAAATAGTGAGACCTAGTCTAGGCCAGCTGTATCTGCTAACTCTTCGTGAAAGTGAAGATAGTAATACTATGTTTGCAATGTTGGTTGATCCTAACAGCAAGTTCTGCTTGCTGGTATCAGTTTTCAACCTTTATAGTTTCAAAAGATATGAACAGATGCCATGGAGATAGGCAGAAAGCACCTCTCTCCTCCCAGGAATAACTCTGCCAGTTTTGAAGTCCTACCAAAAACTATGGACACTTAAGAGCTCTTTAAACAATAATGCTTCAAACAACATCTTGGTGTTATCTAAGACATAGAATGAAACAAGTCCTGATTAAAATATTACAAGCAACAAACAAAGAAAATTAGAGTCTGCCTTGTTTCACAGAAACTGCTGTCAGGAGTCTACATGACTCATAGGAAGCTCCCCATAATATTTTAGACTTCTCTGAAGTTCAACACATCATCTAGTTTTCACTTACCAAACATGTCTGCAAAAATGCATACTTCCATCACCAAGGCAGTACTTCTGGAAGACCCTTTTTTGTGCTTGAGTATTGATAAATTCATCTGGGAGAAAAGCTGAGTCCTTTCAATCTATTATTGTGTAGGTTTCCCAATCTTTCTCCATTTAGCAACTAATCCACTGCTGTTACCTTCACTGCCCTATCAACTTCAGGGACTGCATCAGCAATACTGAGCATCCCACCAGAATCAGCGGTGGAATTCAGCTGGAAAATTCAAGGGGACTCATGGCAGGAATGTGTTGATGAAACAAGTTATGAGACAACAGCAGAGGACCTGTAGAAAGGCAGATGGCAGCTGTCATCTCTCCGACTTACGCAAAAAGATGGATTCACCCACCTGGTAAATTGCCGACTTTCCTCATGTACTTCCATTTCTGTGCTTTTAAATTCATTCAGTTCTTTCCTTATTGCTGCCTGTTAAACAATAAATGTATATTCAACCATAAGAAACATGAATTGTAAGGAAAGTACAGAGTCTGAGAGGAAGCTAGCCCTACTCTGGTAGCTCTCACACCTTTCTGATCATAAACATGAATGACTTCTTTCCACTTACAATTATGTGTAGCAGTACCTTACAAAGAAAACCAAATCATCAAACAACGACAAAGAAAGACAAAATCTACTGCAGTGGGCAAGCCAACCTCTCACTGCAATATGGCACTTGGCACAGATGAAAAAAAGGAGAAGGGACTCTGTTACCTTAACAGTCACCTGTTGAGTATGCACCTGCAAGGGGACTGAATCTCCATGCAAAGCTCCACAGGAGCCAATGAGTCACAGTTCCTGCATGACAATTGTACAAACAGCAGGATCCTTGTATCACCCACTGGAGACAGGACTTCAGCGATGCAAGATGAATAGCACTTTTTAAGTGGGAATTGGCTACTTGGCTTGATTAATTCTATGAAAAACTGCATGAAATATTTGGACATTTCAGGCTTGTGTTTTCAGTTGGCAAATACTAAAGAACAGCAGAAATTTAGTGCGCTTTACAAATGCCAGTTCTTGTTGCTTACATTAGAAGAATAATAAGCAATTTACTTCATTAGGTAATACATATAATTTCTGAAAAATTCTAATGTATATTAGGAAGGTCTTTGTTTCTATGACAAATGATTTCCTACCTTCACTGCTAAATGAAATGCCAGTTTATTTTTGCTCCCTCTTTTCTTTCCCCATTTTAAATAAAAACAGTATCATTTCATTAATCCCTAAGAAATCTCATCTGGCATGCAAGCCTTTCAATGCAGAACAGACACAGAGTATGATAAAATTACAGCATCACCAGACTGGGGTCTCATAAATGAGAAATTTCATTTTAAGCAGGGTATGGTTCTGTTTAGCCACAGCAGCATGCTTACACGAGGCTGCTGCAATAACTAGGAAAGAGAGCGTCATTTCTGAGCACCAAATCAGCAGCAAAACCACCAGAGCTCCAGTTCCATAATATTGTTACAGTGCTATCTTCTGCTCCCACTGGAATTAGAAAAATGAATTCCTTGGGAGAAAAGGGCAAAGGAGTTTCCAGGCAACCCAAGGTCTTTGCCTTTCTGCTGAGGCCAATGAGCACGGGGATCAGAAGCAGCCATGGACATCTGTTCCTTACAAAATGAACTGAGATTAAAACCCCTCACCCTAGAGTAGACAGGAAACTCCCCTGCTTGTTCTAGTGAAGCTACCCAGGTTTTCTGGGAAGGTGGACCTCAGTTAAAGTGGAGGTGCTGGGTGCTCTAACCTCCCACAGAGTATATAAGGACTAGAGAGAGCTCAGTACCTCCCAGAACCAACATCTTGAAACATCTTTACATACATTTGTAATGTCTCCACCTTGACTTGCTATGAGATTCTCCCTTGAATATCAGATGAGCTGTCATTAACGCTAAAATACAAGCTGAAATAAAATCAGTGCCTCACAGTCCTCATCTAAAAGACAAGGGATTCTTGCACACGGAACTTCTCATACCAAGCACATGTCATAGGATTTCCATAAAAGTTGTTTCAAATCCAGTACTAAAAGGGTCAGAACTTTTTGAAATGTAAATCTAACATATAAAACTTCCCTTTTATGAAGTGGTGTAGGAGGAAAATGGATAAATATTTTATGGCAATCTTTGACTGATTTATCCTTTAAAAGGGGAATCATAACATAATTTGTCCCATTCCTTGTAGTTAGGCAGAGAAACTATTAACTGCAGTATGTTTGGAGCAAACTTTCCAAGGACTGCTGCCTACATAGAATTATCTAAGTTTGATAGTTATGGCCAAGAATGCTTAGAACGAAGGAACAGCTTCTACCTTTTACACTTGAATGGATGGCAATAACAGCTCTTGGTGATATTGATGCAGGCTTCTGCATGCAGAAACTCTGCCTGAACTCCAACGATCATGGCTATCTTTGCCAACAGCACGTACTTGGCTTAGCAAGGCGTTAAAAGTGCAAGAAATTCTGGCCTGCTCTGTTGTAAAAATGCTGGCAAACACACCCTTAACGGGCACCTGAGTGAGTTTTCTTAGCTGCAAGCAGTAAATGCACAGCACCATGTCAATTTTACTGCCTCCAGCAGATGCCACACATGATGTTTGCACCAAGAAATTGCAGATCAGAGGAACCAACCAAAAATGAAAGATGCAAGAATTTAACTATAATCTAAATCTGCCCCTTGCCTTGTCTGCGGGAGTTAACCTGGCCCAAGGCTTGTCAGCACGACGATCATAATCTGGAGAATCTGTGACCTCCACGTACTCATTAAACCGCAGGATTCGCCTTGCTTGAAGTTCGGCCACTGTAGGCCTCAGGCTGAGCTGTAAGCGGGAGACAGAAAATAGTACACTTAATAAGACATAATAAAATAAAAGCCGAGGGTATGATGTAATCTCTAGAGAACTTTAATGATGTTTCTAAATAGGGTCACTTTCAGGTGTCTAAAAAAAGGCACCACCCTGGGAGCACTGCATGGGAATGGGGGAGCAACATAACCTAATTTCTTCGATTATAAAAATAGTCTTTGTCAGACAGGTCACAGAGAATCTTGACAGTTATCCCTGGAATATTAATTGTGACTTTGCAACTGGCACTCTGTTTACCCCACTAGATGATAGGTCTGTATTAACAATTACACTCTCTGCTATGTTCAACTATAATACAGAAAATAAGCCTGATGTGGAGGGACCTGCCTAACTAAAAAATAAAATAACATCTGGTGGTCAGGCATTCTATTTTAGTCATTACGATGCCCAGCCACAGGGTTCCAGTCACCTCAAACAACATTCATTTTAATCAGCTAAAGACAATCACATTAAGGAAAAAAATACTGTAACTATTTTTGCAGAGAAGGACAGACAAAGGAGACATTCAAAAACCTTTCCCATCCTCTCCCACAATGACACCCCCATGCTAGAATAGCACATCACTGTTTTGTTTTGTTTATTTATTTATTATTTTTATTTTGCAGGGACAATGAGCACAATCCCATCTGGAGCAGGCAAGCCTGCTGATGTGGCCAGGAGAAGGGTGAAGGAATGGGCACACACTGCTTTGCTGCCCTCTCTGCTGCCCAAGGGAAGAGTGGATCTATAGGTGTGGCTGCCCTTGAACGTATGTGACAGCGGTGGTCATGCTCAGAGGAAACTCCCAGATCATTTCTTCCCCCTGCTTACATGGACAAATATTAAGCATGGGCAGACTGTATGCTTTTTTTTTTTTTGAGGTAGAGGAAACTGGAAGGAATGGGGTTTCTCCCTAGAAGGATTTGGCTGGTACTGCCTTTTAAACAGATTTCTAATATGGGGACCTGACTAATGCATATTTGCATTAATGTATATACACTGGATTTTTGAATCTTACAACAAAATAATCCTATGCGCACCAATACACAATACAAAACAAAACAAACAAACAAAAAACACATCATCACCTTTCTACTGAGTCTACGTTTTATTTCTCTTTTGGCTTCCTGTTCCTCTTCTTCATTCTTCTCTGTTTTTGGAAGAGATAAAAAGCAGTGAATATTTACGTATTATAACTTCACATACTTAATTCTCTTGGTTTAAAGCTTCAGGACTTCAAATCTTGGCTCATGTTTGCTCATATTTTGGGGTGATTCTACACGTATACTCTGCTTTTTGATTTTGTGAGCTCTCTTTTGTTTTCCCTATCCTCAGTCTCCCCCAGTTCTGTAGACACCTTGAGTCACCATGATGGGTCGGGAACATAGCAAAGAGAAGGCTTCCGTGTAACAGCAAGAGAGAGGAACTCTGAAAGAGCTGTCTAATGTTTCAATTACTCATCCTAGTATTAAAATCACTATTGCTTTTACTTCCAACATGCCATCTCTTGACTAAGAGTCTAATTATCCATAAGGGTCAAAGAAAAAACTTTGCTCTGAGTATCTGAATCAGCCAAGTGTCCTCTACTGCTACAGAAGGGAATGAAGCAATGACAATTCTTTTTACTGCCAGCTGTTAGTGCAAATTGCTTTTGTTACTTTAACATTTTTTTTCTGACTTTATAATGAATGTATATGATTCATTACTTGGATATTCTTGGTTAAGGACCACTAGCTAAACCAAATGCAATGTGTAACTTCCGTGCCCTGAATGGGTACAACAGAAAATTGCACATGCATTTTCTCAATGTACTTGGGAACAAAACTGAAATGTGCTATTAATAAATTTCTGAGCAAACCAAAATTGATTTCTTGAGTGCCACTGACAAGAACACTTACAAGGGCACATTCGCAAGGACTCAGCATTTTTTTAATTTGATGTGTGTTCTGAAGAATATTATCTAATTTATTGATCCACCTCATAGTTACATGCAAGCTTAACTTCGATGTGGCTGAAATATACCACCTAGAAATATTTTTAGAATTCAGATCCTGTTTTATTCAAGGTTGGTGGTTATGGATTCCAAGCTGCAGTTCAAGGCTAACTATAAAGCTCATTTGTCTATTGTGGATGTAGCCAACCTGCATAGGCGAAAAGGCACTTTTAACTTCCAGTGTTGTTCAACACTCTGTCTGCTATAGCCAGCCTGTGGTGTTACTACAGGCAACCTAGCTGGAAAAAGGTTCCATGTTATGGCTGGTACACTGGAGGTGACACTGTGACACGTCACCTAACAGCACTTGCACATTTCATTGCTGACTCAAAGGCTCCCATGTAAGAATAATACAGTGGAAAGAAGGACAAGTGACTTAAAAAAAAAAAAAAAAAAAAAAGACAGTAAGAAGAACCAGCCCAAGAACTGTTCTGGGAGAAGATCCCAATACCAACCCCAGATTTCTATTAGCAAGATGCAATTGCAAGGGCTTGCAGCCAGAATTAGGTTGGATCTATTGTTGATGGTGCTTTTATTATACTGAAATGTGAACATAATTCATGGTCTATTAATGGCTTTTCTCTTAAATCATGAACAAATGGATCTGTAAGGATCTCTAACTGAGTAAACTGAAAAAATTGAGAGTTAAAGATAAATTTACTTAAACTTTATTATTATTATTACTAACATACCTAGTAATAAATAAGTTGTGTATATTTAAGGATTTGACTTTAGATAAGAACTCTTTTTATGACATCTTCACCTAACAAAATCAAAAGCTCTCTAGCTTTTTTAGGACAGGTAAGTCATCTGTAGGGTTTTGTTTAAGCAACTCAATGCACACTACTTAAGCACAAATTATTAATTTGGGGTTCCATTTACCTGGAATTTGTTTGACATACAAATTTTTGCCACTTCAGGAACTGAGTCACTTCAGTATTACCTCATAGAAATTCTCCAGTAGCAAAAAAGATGCAACTGGATAATGCACATCAGTGGATATACACACACAGTTACATATTCAAATTGACTTACTTCTAGAAAGAAAACTCAAGAGCTGAAGTAAAGGGACTGAACTCTGGTGGCTGCTGTTTATATTCTGAATGTGCTGTTAGGCCAAAGGCCGCTAGTTCCTGGCACTGACCACTCTCCCTCGTACCTAAAGCACTTATTGCATCTCTCCAGACTGCTGAGCACAACAGAAACAGTGCCCTGACACAAATTCTTACTAAGAATAACACCTATAATGCATTTTTTTTTGTCTTTTAAAGTTTTGAAAGTTGCCACAGTGATTTAAGAAGATGCACTGAGCTAAAAATAATGGGCCTTGTGCTCCTTCTCCTTCAGGTGTCATGGACAATCCCACCCAGAGGCTGTTCCAGCTGCAGGTATGAACTGACTGACTTGCCCAAACAGAAACCCATTAACACACTGAAACACATTTCTGACTGCATTCCACCTTAAAAGCAGATCTGATCTGTAGGATGTGGAGAAGGAAAACATAAACAGTGTGTTCCCAGCTCCAAGTCCCCTCCTCAGACTGCCGCAGAGCCGCACTGGCAAAGGACCAGCTGAGCAATTGCCCTTTGCTTGCAGCACTCTCTGGTCAGGTCCCAGCAAGCTGTGGCTTTCCTCCTTCCCTGACTGCAGCTCCTGGGAGGCACAGCAGCACACAGGTCAAATGGGCACTTGACTCCCAGCTGAAACCATTTTATTTAGTATCACGGTCTCCGGTTAAAAAGCCCAATGGTGAAAGTAGAGCAAACGGCTTCCCTGGCTTCTGTATGTTATCGCTTCTGCAACGTCTACCCCATTAAATCCTGTCAACTTCTGTTTCTGCAGGACATCTGCTTCACAGCAGAAGGGGAGAAGAGAAGAGAGGATTTGCTCTGCCCGAGGACTGTTCTGCTCTTGACCAGAAAGCACTCCAGGAGCATGAAACTGAACTTTCCATTGTGTCCCTGTGGGGATTAGCTATGTTTAGACTTCTCTGTGGGCTTGCTGAGGAAAGAAAAAGAAAAGACAAACAAAGCGCCTCCCTCTTGGAATGCTGTGGAACACAGAAAGCGGCTTCTCTTTCCTGGTTTTACAAGAAAAGACAATCATTAATATTCCCTAACTAGCACCAAGGGCTAAACACTGCTTTCTCAAAGCCAGTACTGGCAAGTGTGCAGGTGCACCGGACAAAAAGTTCACTATCCTTTACAGATACAGAAAAAAATACAATTATCTTAATCTAAAATTCCTGGAAGAATAAAGTTGTTTTTTTTTTTTTTTTTTTTTTTTTTTTTTTTGCAATAATACAATGCTATAAATACTACCAGCTCAGAGCCAGTACACAAGAAACCTGTCTGTACTAAAACCACAAGGCTTTATCTATTCCTTTGAGTGGACTCTTGAGCTATCATAACTCTGTTTTAGTGTGGGAAGACTCAAAAGTTCAGATAGTTTTATCCAAGTTGTTTTTACACAAAGCAGCCTGCAATGTTTTGCAGTTTTACTCAGTTACAGGATTTTCAGCAACTGGTTTATCTGGTAATATTATCAAAACAAATCTTGCAACACAGATTTCCTCATTTTAAATGGAAATACAGAAAACATTCAGACTTTTTCTGAACCTCTTGAAAGATTTGGGCTGAACTTAATCCTGAAATAAACATTTGGACCTTTACCACTTAATGTAACCTCAAAGTCTGATAAATATTACTCAAAACAATACTTTTCCTTGGTTGCAGTTTACATACAAGCAATAATTTTCCCCACGCAATACTTAAAAAGGAGGAAGGAAGCTTTATGAAAGGAATCCCAACTTATTCACAAAAGTTGCCTACAACAACAAAGGCATTTAAGAGATGTAAACATTTCTGAATGATCCACAGGAAGGGAATGCCATAATTTTGATAAATGATATGCAGGTTTTAGAGCTGAGAGAAAACTTGCACACTCGAAGGGCTCTGAGTCAGACTGTCATCACAAACACTGTCTTTTCTTGTGTTTACTTTGCTTTTTAGAGATTAACTTGAAATATTTTATATCTCTGTGATGAGCAAAAAGCAGTTGTGTATTCTACATCTGCTTGTCAGTGATTCTGCTTTTATTTATTTATTTTCCACTTATACGTCTGTGTTTCAGCACTTATTTTTGCTCTCCCTTGCACCGTTAAGCCAGACACAGGGAAGCAGCAGGGAAGGATGGCTGGCTACAGAGGAGCAGTGAAGAGGTATTGAGTGCAAAGCATGGTTTGCTGACAAAAACATCAAGTAAACAAGCTGAAACAGGAGTAGAAATCTATTAACTGCTTTCCAGTCTTGAGCTACTTATTGCAAAATCAGTGACCAGAATAAACAGTGGCAAAGGCGATACTAAATACACTATAAATATGTTGGTAGATCAGTTATCTAGAGATTAGCTAGACAGAGAGCATAAGAAGCCCAGCTGCTGTTCCCACCTCAGTGTCCATATCCTGCATCACCAAAGATGTTTTGGAATTACCTTTCTCACCTAGTTCAGCGTGAGCTGCTTGTCATGTAAAATACTTCTGTATTTCCCATTTTATCTTTATTATGACTATGCAATGTACAGGTTAAGAAATTATGCCCTTAGAAAGCTCATTCACATTATGGATTGGACAGGAGTCCCTTGAACTTGTGCACCATAATGCAGAAACAGTAGCTTCCCCTTTTCAATAAGACATGACACTATTTGACTTTGAAGAGCTTGCACAGCAGCAAAAGGATTTTATTAGCGTAGATAGTTGCCCTAAAGCCAGTAATTCTTATTCCTCCTTGATCTGCTGGCCTGAGCAGGTGACAGTGATCAGTCCATGGACTTTGTCAGGAAAACAGCCTATTAGCTTTTCTTGCCTTGGCATGCTGTGTGACAGGGTTACAGAGACAAACTACATCATTTTTGAAAAATTGTTAGAAACAACTGCATTATAACTGCTCTTTCAGCTACATCAAGTATAGAAATTTATATGTATATATATATATACACGCAGAATAGATGAGTTCTGAGATTTGTTGCTATGTGTGAAACGCTTCCAAGTGCATTTTCTTCCTTGTAAATGTTTGTATTGTTTATTTCTTCATCAACTACTAGCCACTCCTGCAGAAAGAATACAGGGCTAGCTGGAGCTGGGCATGGCAATTGTTACAGTGCATGATTAGATAATATCTATATTATAAAAAGATTCATAAAGACAAAGAATGTGTGTTCTAACGAGTTTACCAGCCTGAAAAACAAAAACAGCATAACTAAATTGGAAAGTAAGTATAGAATGTAAACATCTAGTTTTCCAAAGATCTACCCTCTATTTGAATCACAGACTTAAGTTTTTCTACAGGGATACTGAAGAATGATTAAATCATCAGAAAGATATTCGTTAGGAATGTACTATCCAAGTTTCAATACACAAGACAAATAAATACATTTATTTCAGAAATGGATGTAAGGACCAACATGCTGAAGCAGTTGGCATATGCCTGTCCCCTTTCCTCTGAATACTTCACCTTTCTTCTTAGTTCACTTTCCAAACTCTGTCCTTGTATCCCACCTCCAACTCCTACTGATATTCCCTCTTCCTTCTCAGAAAAAATAGGTGGAAGTTTAGCCAGCCTTGAACTACTTCTAAGGGGTATCTAATTCATTTCTGGGCTTTGGGACTGGTTTCAAGAAGTGGGATTGTGACAGAAAAATGCAGCATCTTGAATATATGCAATTTTCACAGCTACAGGTTAGCATATAAGTCTAGTATTGACTTGTGATTTTAAAGAACATAATTACTCTCCAATTATGGATCTAACACTAGAGTAACAAGGACCAGGCCACCATATGAATCCAAAATATGCTGTGTTCACTTTCTAAGTATTAACTTAAACCTGAATAAAATACTTACGCTTTAGGATATTTCTTTGCTCTAGCTCTTCAGTTGTAGGCCTCTGGCTAAGTCTCCTGTAAGAACAAAGTAAGTGACTGATTTTAAACCAGATCTAAATAACACCTGATGATTTGTAATGCAGCTTAAAAGATGTCTTACATAGTCATTCTTATAAAGCTATTCATTTCCAGTTGAGGTATTCAACCACAGACAATTTCCACATGTAGTTATAATACCTGGGCATGTAACCTCACTACTGACTGGGCATTTCTTTTAACATTTATATTCTCACCACTTGAACACATAAGTGATACTTGCACAATATTACAGAAATTGTACCAGCAAATTTAAATTCCTCATTTAGAGGTATAATTTTATGAAAGAGTTCATAAACCTTTTTTGTCCCCAGGCATCACAATTATGATAAGCTGTGCAAGCATAAGATTATTCTCAGGTGTTTTGAATGCAAATCGTGTGTGTTTTATTTATTTTTATTTATTTATTTTTTTAACAAAACATAAGCGGAGCATTCCTCATCAATTTGCAAGCACATTGAAATTGTGGAGTTTCCATCAACACTTGATTTTATTTAGTTACTTATATATAAAAATGACCATTTAAGAAATATCTGAGATGTTCATTTTCTGGTCTATATAGTACAGAACGTGGTGGATGTTGTCTTTGTGTTTAATAAACAAGTTCACATGTTTGCTTGAGAAAAGGAGCAAGAAAAATTTCAGCAGTAAAACTGATGTTGCAAATGTCTTAACAGTTGGAAATCCCCTCTGCCCAGCAATCCTCCTAGCTCACTACAGACCATTTGTGGCCTCATGAAAGCCACCTGATTCCAACAACCCTTAGCATTTCTGTGACACCTGGAGACAAAGAGGATGGTGTGGAGTGTGCTTGTGGCCATCAAATGGGACTGGAGAGCTGAGTTTTGATTTAAATAGGGACTTTCTGGTAAGGAATGTAGAAAAAACGCTGTTATGAAGAGACTGGTTTCCAGTTACACTTTGGGGGGGATCATTTCTGGTAATGAACTGCTTTAGCATCAGACCTTCTATTTTTTTTTAACAGCTCCAGGTCTCATTATGTACAAAATCTCCATTGTGTTCATGTGATTTTCAGATTGTGAGGAGGTTTGAAAGGAGTGACCAAGCCCATGCTGCAGGAAGTTCCTGACCCAGCACTCACTGGGCTGTGGGAACAGGACTTCCACTGCCTTCAGACACTTTTCCACCAGATCTCTGCTCTTAGGTGCTGACCACGACATTGGGAATTTTAAAAGAAGATGCCATAAACTCAGTTGTGATTTCAAACCTCTCAGCACAGGTATTGCACCTGGCATTGTACCAGGCACCATAAGCTTTGCACATCTATTTTATGACTGTGTGGTGAGGGTGCCAGCCTGGCAGAACTGGCAATGCCAGGCAGGAGAGCTGAGGGCAGGAATCAAAGAGCAGCTTGTTCACTGTAAGCCCCAGGGGGAATACAGATAGGCAGGATGTGATTACCAGAGCTGGAATTTGGTTAGGAAAGCACAGATAACAACCAGGCTTCTTTATTAGCAGGAGAAAAATGACCTTTGGGCTCTACAAAAAAGATGTATGCCTCTCACAGTTAGGGAATGAAATAAATTATTTAGCTAGCCACGCAATTCACAGAGCACCTCAGCACATGTGCTAAGTGCTGGGGCTGGGCTGCTGGGCTTCTGTACTGGAGTAGCACTGGCTGCACTGCCCAGTATCTGGAAATCTAACAAACACAGGACATCCTCCAAGCCTGCCTGAGCTACATTGCTGAGCACAAGAGAAACAACGACAGGCCTGGGAAAATTCAGATGTATTGTAGTCTGTTCTCAGAGACTGTAAAAAAACAAAATTAACACTTTGGATGATTTTTTTTAAGGTTTGTAAAAATAAAAGTTAAAACCTTTTTTTTTTTTTTATTTACTTGAAAAAATTTTTAATGCAATGTTCTCAAGTTCAGGAGCAGAAAGTAATGTATGTCCCACAGCAGTTAGGAGCATGAGAAAGACATGCTCAGAGGTGAGCACACTACTGATCTGCAGTCGGTCTCTATTTATTTCTTTTGTTGGAACCAGTACATGAATAATTAATCATTTAGAGAACAGGAGAAGGGTGGGAAGGAACATAAGGGAAGAACATGCACAGGCATACTTTGTGTGTCTGAAACTACAACTCTGACTGAGAGGGGGACACGTAAGTTCAAGTCCTTGTTAACCAGCATGAGGAAACGCTTGAACCATGGCACCGATTGTTCTGGAGTTATTTTTATTCCTATATAAAACAAACAAACAAACAAAAACAAACAAAAAAAAACAAACAAACAAACTCAGCCCCTGAAGCTCTAGGTTTGTCTCCTGCAGAACAAAAATCTAAGATGGACATTTTAAAGTTTTGTGAGAAATTAAAATACAATTTTAATTTCTCCAGACAGTTTTACCATGAAGATCCTGCACTGCATATTGGGCTGAACTTAAAATATGAACCCAATGTTATTCACCATCTTCCTCCACCTCCACCCAGTAAAAACACATTTACACTGCAACTAATACCTCACTAGCTTTGTTCCAATCTGATGTCTGATTTCCTGCCTCTCCTCTTCAGATGTGCACTGCAAGATGTTTTTGTCTTCTAATTCTTTCTTAGATGGTCTGTTGCCAAGTTTGATAGCAAGAGTATCCCTACGACGAATTTTACTTGCCAAAGAGCCTGAGGAAAGGAAGAGGAGGGTAAATTTAGTTCATTCATGCTTAGGTTACAAACACAAACTCTGAGTAAGGACTTTAATACCTCCCCAAAGCAGCCTTGTTCCAACATGCAGGAGAAGAATTTTAATTAACATCAAAAGGGAAATAGTTTCAACTCAGCTCACAACAATAAAAAGTTGGAAGACTTGCATGAAAAAGCTAACAGCCTAAATGACAGAGGAGCTTTACAAGGACAAATTTACATTTATGTGTCTTTGAAGTCTGATACGTTACAGGTTGATTTATTTATCTACTTAGTACTGTTAGCAAAATGCTGCTTTTTTCTTAATCTTTAAATGAAAATGAGAACAAAGTCTTGTTCTCTCATCTTTCTCATTCTTTTCTTTTTAGTCCCAATGTAATGCTACTTATTTCTTGTATATTGCTTTCATCTTTAAATTGTTAAAAAAAATAATAGTTGAATAAAATGAAAAACTCTCTGAGAACTTGTAAAGTATTCTAGGCAGGATGCCCCAGGCACTGAAGCAATCTCTTCATCCGTAAAGTAGATACAGTAGGGACAACAGACACACCATCTTGCCTGTGTTAGTGTCAGCCAGCTGTGGAACAACTTCCCTTGTCTCTTGTTATTCTGACCAAGAGGGCTACCTATGTCCTATGATGACAGGATTTTATGATGTATGACAGTTTGTTAAGGTCACGGGCTCCCACTTCACTTCTTATTAAGACACTGCTGCTGTCTGAATTGATGAATTTTTAGTTGCTACCACTTTGGATGGTATTCAGACCAAAGGGAGAACTGCAGAAGACTTCAGTGTCTCAAGCTATCTGGCACTTCACCTTCTGCTGCACCAGCGTTCATGCTGTTATGTACCCTGCCCTTGGGTCTCCTGCAGGACTTTCCAGAAGCTGCTGAGGACTGTCCAGTGAGAGCCGGTCCTTTTGGAGGTGGGTGTGCTCTGCTGTAAGCAGCAGCCTGGAATGGTGGCTACATGATGCTGAGCCATTTGGGGGCTCATGTAGCATTTGGGTTGCCATGTAGCAACTTCCCCAATCACCTCATTCCCACAAGATCTCTAGTGCAAGTCAGTTCAAAGCCACACTGGTGCTTTAAGGGTAAAGATTCATTACATGGGCGAGCCCCGATCAATAAAACTTAGGGCTGATGCCCTAACGTGGAGGCCTTGTCCTACCCTGTTCTCCCGAACCCACTACTTCCACCTCCACTCCCAACTATGCAATGCTTGATCCCAGCAGGTTTTTGATCACAATTGTCTGGGAAGGGAAAAGGATACTCATTTCTCATTCACCACTAGGTACAACACTACATCATCTAAAACCATGCCATGCAGCCATATCCTCCTCTCTTTACTTTGCTAAACAGGGGTCAGGCATGGTCACATAATGTAATGTGCACAGGGTGGACTGCAACGTGTTGGTGGGATGCCCTGCAGTAGCACCACATCCTGGAAGAGAATCACCCACAGACTGATAGGCCTGCTTGCAGCTCTGTCCCAAAGTCTTTGCTCTCTTGCAGGCCACAACTTAGTGGGGTCATGTACACAACAACTCATTGGGCGTAGGAATCATGGACTGCATGCAACCAGCGAGCTCCAGTTAGCAATCTGGCAACCACAGCAGCTTAGCAGGCTCTCTGAGCCAGCCCAGGACAAATGGATGTCAGATATACCCTAAGATGGCCACCCCTCCCCAGCACCCTCTTCTTGTTAGGGGCTTACTTTCAGCACTAGCATTATCATCATCGTCATCATCGTCATCATCTGTGTACAGGATCGGCCCGTCAGAGTCCGAGTCGCTGCTGTGGCTCTCTCTGCTGCTTTCACTCTCAGGAGGGGCAGCAGCATCAGACGCCTCCTCCAGTGGTTCAGAGTGGGTCTGGTCAGGTGCCTCTGCTTCCTGGTCATCCTTGGTAGCCAGGCTATGAATTCATAAGCAGACACAGTGTCACATCAATGCAAGCAGTAGAGAACATGAATGGGAGAGAGCCTCCATAAGCAAGCATGAAAATAAAAGTTCTGCTGCTCAAACTAACTTCTTTCTCTAAAACTCTATATAGGTAAAACATATGCAGTGTATATATATGTGCATGGGTATACGTATCTCTTTACGGTTAAGCATGTTAAGAAGAAAGATGCAAACAGTCTAAAAAGATGAGCTGCAAAGTCTTTGTACAGAAACATCATTGTTCTTGTTTATTTCTTGTGGGATAGTACCAACTACATAAAAGCTAATGAGAGGAGAGAAACAGCTCATAAAGTTGGGGGTGAGAGGAGTCAGTCAGAGAGCAGGCAGGACTGCAAAGCTTCCTCTTCTGGAAGCCTGACTCTATTTACTGCAAATATAGTTTTATTGCTGTTGGGTGCAAAACATTCATTTCTATCATTGATGAATATGGAAATCGGCAGCAGAGGGCCCTCTGCCTTGGGAAAATCCTTTGTGTAAACGAAGGGTAGAGAAAAGGGAGAAGCAGCACAGGAATGCAACATTGGCACAGATGTACCAGCAAGGCTCCCTCTATTTCAAGGAAACTCTCTCGGTCACTGGCATCTACACCAAAACCTCTTGGGTTGTTATGAAAGACACTGGGTCTTGTGGCAGGGAAAAGACAGATTAATAAGCTAGTTGCTTTTTTGCTGCCAACTATTTTGCGTAAAAAATATAATTATGACTTTGTTCTTGACTAGATTTTATAATATCTGAGACTTAGAAAAGCTATTAGGCAGTAGCAGACCAAACATTTACTAACCAATGCCTAAAACTGTCATTAAGTCTGCAAGTGAATTCAGCTACTGAATCGAGAGCTTTATCAATGAGATTTTAAATGATATTCCCCCCCCAAAAGATATCTATATATATTTTAAATAACAAACTTTTAATTAAGCATCCTTTCTTGCTTGCCTTTATGAGAGAGAAATAAAAGTGTTATCTGTGGCTAGCTGAGCTGTTGACTGCAGTGGTCAGTATTCAGCCAGGCAGCAATACAGGTGGCACATGATGAGAAATGCCCTCATGGGGAATCATTAAATATTATGGGTGAATGCCTCAAAGATGTTCACAAGGGTCAAATTGTGCTGGGATGCCCCTCAGAAGTGGACACAAATTACCAGTCAGCATGCCTACAGCATCCTTTATGCAAAGGTAACACTAGAAACATGGGTTCCTGCAGGCTTTGCCACTTACCCATGACAGCAATGACTTACCAATGACCATCTCACCTTTTTGAGTCTTCTCCACTAGCATCTGGACCACCGTCTTGGGCTGTACTGCTCAGGTTGTCATCTGTGCCTTGCTCAGCCTGGAGAAGAGGTTTCATATCTGATCCAGGGATGGATGGCCTGGCTACTGAGCCCTCTGGTGCATCTTGGGCATCTGAGGAGACAGCGGGCTGACCAGCTGCAGCAGGAAAAGGAGGTGGAGGTGGAGGAGGAGCTGTGGTGGGAGGAGGGGGGACAACCAGCTTGCTCCGTTGGTCTACGTCCTCTGTTTCAGAAATTACTATGGAAGGCTGCTCAGGCTCAGATTTTTCTGCCTTCACTTCCAACCTGTTGGCTGTGGCACCTGAGGGGGAAGAAGCTGCCCCATCTGGTGCCGTTCGTGGGGCTGACTGCTTCCCAGCTTTCTTCTTGCCCCTGGGAGTCCCTGATGTGCCCGATTTACTGGAAGTCTCCTTAGAGGCTTTGGAATGAGATGATGTGGACGAAGGAGATGGCGATGAAGAAGACTTGGAGACTGGTGCTTTTTTAGCATGTGAGGAACTAGAACTAGCTAAAATAAGAAAAGAAAAAGCATTTTACAGTCTTGCAACTATGCATTTTTTGCACCTTTCTGCATGAATTGTTTTGTATGCTGATAAAAATGAAAAAACTACACTTGATACTTCTGTAACTCTTCATCTATATGCTTGAGATGAATAAAGGTTGGAATTCACAATTCAGCTTTAGAGATGGGAAGACTGAAATGATGAATACTTGTCGAAGATCAGTGAAGGGGATCAACCTTAGAAATAGGTGAGATTTTGATCCTAGCATTCTGTGTTGGCCCATTAGAAGTTGCCTGGACATCATCCACTACTTTTTTCCAAAACGTTTCTTGCCCTAGTTAAAAAATAAATAAAAAAAATGCTACTGGACCGAGAAAATTGTCTGACCTTTTCTATTATGTGATTTTTATGGTCTGAGCAGTAGGAGAACAATATGATTTTCCTCACACCTTTCAATGAACATTAGGACCAATGAGAGCATCAGTTAATTACATTTCACAATGTTCTTGCAAGTGGCATGCTCCTAGTTAATGTCAAGCAGCAGAGGGACAGTAAAATGAGATGTAATTTTGAGTCCAGATTGGTATGTCCATAAAAGAGAGTTGGAAACCAATGATCTCATTCTGCACAAATGATGTCCAGAAGGAAAGAGGCACTGCAGGCCTTCTGTACATACTGGAGCTCTTTGTCTTGACAGTGACCAACTCAAGTAGCCTTGAAAATGTGGTGACACAAGATTTTGACACTAGTTGCACGAACTGGCTGGTAATGTTTCTGTCTGCTGTTGTGATACTATACTGAAGCATATATGGTTGCACCTTGGCTCTAGTCAGTGCCCAGGTTTGCAGGAGAGCTCAGGTAGCAAGGTATGCCCCATGTGCATCCCAGCCACGTTTCTAATGGCTGCGTTGATGCACACATCACTTGGACTGGGAGCTTCAGAATTCTGACTTGCATTTAAAAAGCAATAAAACTGACAACCGCCTTAAAATTCAGTCCTCTTCATCCAAATGCATCCAACTCAAACACTTCTGCTGCAGTAAAAATGCATTAACCTCAAGAGCGCAAATGAAAGCATTATAAAGCTACACGGCAGCCTTGAAGCTAAGCTTACCGAATAAAACAGAAAGCTGTAATAAAAATCTGCTGAAAGGCCTACTTTACTTATAAGCATTTAAATAAAAACAAAACCCCAGCAGATTAGGATAGAATCAAAATACAGATACTGGCCATAATAAGCTCACGATACAAAAATAGCTTTCACAGTGTGACTGCTCTTAGTCTAAAAGAAGATGGAAAATAATTCAAAAGACACATTACACCGTTCTCTCCTGCAGCAGAATGTTATGGTTTATAAACATTTATAGAGCCGTGTGGCTTTCAGTACATCTGGAAAAATTTGCAGGAACTCATGGCTTCAGGCATATCAGTGTCCCTCTTTGTGCCGTGAGGTAACTGTACGGGGCACGGCGCGGGATCTACTGATACTGCAGTCACCAGCCACACCGACTGACTTCACTTACCAGCAAATCAAAAGGAAACAAAGAAATGGTACAGGCGGCAGTTCCTAATTGCAATGGAAATAAATGGTGGCTCCAACCTGTATATTATTTAGCAGAAACCTCAGTGAGTAAGTAGATGGTACTAACAAAGGGCTCTGGTTCTGATCCAGCAAAGCACTTAAACACAGGCCCCAGCCAACAAAACCAGTTATGTGCTTAAACTTAAGAACTCCAGCACAATACAAATATACAGCTGCACTATAATTATCACTGGGAAAACGTCAAAAGATGTTTCCATTGAATGAAACCTTACATTATTCTCAGAACCCTCCTGGACTTGCAATCAGATACAAAAACTTGAAAGAATTCTCCCAGAGAAATTCACCCCCACACACTTTCACTCAGGTCAGAAGTGCTATTGCTATTGTTGCTTTAAGCTGGGCTGCCTGACAACTTTCTGTCAAGCCTCTTTTTCAGTAGAAAATTTGAATTTTGATTAAACACAGAAATTTCACGACCATTATTTGCCTTTTGGCACAAGTACATGCTTACGTTCATGTCCCCTTTCTCCCAGCTATACTGTTTCAGTTTGGAAACCTTCTGAGTAACCTCAGTTTCCCAAATCCTATTCTCCTTCATGGGACTAGATCACTGGCTGCACCACTTGTTCACTTTCATGGGGATCTGATAAACCTTGTGTATTAAATACTGCTCCCGATACATTCTCCTTATGAATCATTGCCCCTATTTAAAATGAAAACAATGTACCTAGTGCTGAAAGAAATTGCTAGTAGAAAATGTACTATTTTATACAAGAGGTACATTGATATATTTTATAGCTGTATGGTCTCAAGTACTGCATGAAATTTCAGCAAGGCTACTAAAAGACAGATCTGGAAATCGAATGTGTTTTAATTTAAGAACTGAGGTACCTGAGAGCTTGTTACCAACCACTCGCCTGAGCATTTTTCTATCTGATGGGTTGTTCTGTTTCTGAAAGGTCTGCTGTTATTAGGTTCCTTCACCTGGGAGGAACTGAGTTTTCCAGCTGCAAGTGAAATACAAGGAGCAAGTTCTGGGTTTTCAAAATGTTTATTCTTGTGGTCTATTGATGTAGTAGGGACAGTTAATACCAAGTTAATGGATATTTTATGGCAAAGTTATTATTGTAACTTTAGCAGTCTTGCAATGTTTTCAAACAATCCTCTTCTGTGTGCTTCAAATACAAAACTTGCCAAAATGTACAAGTTATGAAGAAGTATACTTGGAGAGAAAACTGGAGTGACTGAAGGGCTTTGAAAGACTCAAAGAGGATCGAAAATACAAGATTTGTATAAGTTGGCCAGTGCACATATATACACAGTCCATTCGTCATAATACTTCTTGCATTCAAATTATATTTGAATGTTTTCATTTTGGTTATTGTCTAAATTTAAACCACTCAAACTCCAGATCAGTACCTTAGAACAGCTACCTATAATCTAGCATCTTTGCAGAATTTTGGTTAAAAAGTGCAGTAATAAAAACATCTATTATGTGCCTGATGACTGACATTTTCCATTCTCAGTGCATATTTAGAATCACAAGAAGCTATCAACAAGCTCAGCAAGTCTGATTATTTCTAAGGATTTATAATTCTTCTTATTATTTATTTATTTATCTTTCTCAGTTTAAACAACCACTACTCAACAATCTTTAAAGATCTCTTCCTGGTTTTATCCTTTACCTCTTTGAAATCTTCTCATCTTGTCACGTTAATTGGAATAGTAGTTACTTCCAGCAGAAAGTTACAGCAAAACCAAAAAAGTTTTACTTTGGGGCAACTCAGATGTATTTGGTTTCAGAAGTCGCCTTTTCCCCTGCTGATTCTTTGGCAGTTCTCTGTGTTGTTTTATTACCAACACTTACATGTCACCTGGGAATTCAATATAGTCTCCGTTGTGCTTGGTTTTGTGCATACATTTGTTGGACAGCAAAGTGATTCATCTGATGTCTGGGGTGTTTGCAGACAGCAGAACCAGAGCTCAGTGGGAAGCTAGCTAAAAACATCAGAGGCATGCTCTTTAGTAGCACCACTATTTACAAAAGCAAAAGTTCTCACCAGACAAAGTCAAGCACCCCCATGCACATGCACCCACTGCAACAGGCACGGCCTGTGCAGTACTCACCAGCTTCCCGATTTGCACTGTGACTTGTTGGCTTTGGAGGTGGGAGAGGAGGCTGCTTAGCAGGAGCCTTTCCCTTTTTTTTAGCATGAGATGCTTCATTACTCTTATGGCTGGTGGTGGTTGAAGCAGCAATAGCATTTTTTGGTGGTAGCGGAGCTTTTTTAGATTTAGGCTTAGACTTGGGTAGTGGTGGAGCATGGGATGCCGGTATTTCTGGGCAGTGATCAGTAGTGCTCTCTATGGATAAGAAAGTGAATAGAAGCCAACTGACACAAACATATGCCACATACATTTAATAGCAAGCTTGACAACGACTACTTTTTGCTGCTTGAGCTCTTGGGAATCAGTACAGACTTCTTCATCTTCTGAAGTATTACTTCAGAAAAAAAAATTGCCATCTGTCTCCACTCAAGTCCCTCTTGTTGAAGACTTTTGCCTGGCTCTTCTCTCATTCTCGCCTATTCTAGATCTCCAAGAACCCTCCTTAACTCTCAACATCCCCAACTAGACTGCTGCCTGCAAACAAAGCATGGGAAATACATGTACCATTTACTCCTCTCACAAATTCCCTTAGATTCTTTCCAGTCCTCTTGAGATCAACAGACTATAAAACCCAGATTCATGTGAATCTGAATGTGAACAGGGCCATTCCCTCAGCCACAGGTTCAAATATGGCTATGCAGCTGAAACTATCCCCTGCAGGAACCCATTCTCCTAAGCTGCAGAGTGCTTGCTCAGAGAAACAGCAAATTTATTTTGGGTATCTTCCCCAGGGTATTTCTACTCTTCAGAAAGAGATGAAGCTAAATTAAAATAGGATGTCATTTGCCATGGGAATGCTCTTCTCTCCTGCGTACTCCGAGTACTGTCACCAGACTGCAGTTTTAAGAGTCATCAGTTACTTAGCCCATGAAAATCCCGACTTTATCTACATCGTGTAGTCCAGTAGGAATGGCTCTGCAGGGTGAAAACTGGTAACACTGAGGACCCTATAACCCCAAGTGTGTACTTCACGAGATTTTATGTTGGACTAGCTTCAGCCTAGTTCTGTAGACCGCATGCCCAGATGTGGTGGGAGCATCACCAGTTCCTGAATGCAGCTTTGGTTTTAGTTTCATTCAAAGGGAAGCTGGTTTGTGTGCTCTGCAAACCAAAGAATGGTAAGCAGGGATGATCTGGAAATTCACTTTGGTGCATTCCTAGCACTAATGTAGATGAGCCATTTAGAGTCAGCACAACATTTTGCAATATAATCTCTACAGTTGTTAGACTGTAGCTGGTAGTCAGATGGGAATCTTTATTTATTCCATCACACCAACTCTGTGCCCATTTGGGCTCAAGATAGCCTTTCCAAGCTTTTTGGAAAAAGGATGTTATAAAACCAAGAGCATAAAATCAAAATCATATGGGCTTTACATGCATGTTAGTATAAATTACAATGGTCAGGGAACAAAGAAGCCAAGCACATATCAAAATTACTTCCAACAATCTCTCTCTCTCTCTCTTTTTTTTTTTTAATCACTAAAGAGGAAACCAATTCACTTCTTGAAGTATGTTCCTACAAAAGCTTTACTCTTACACACATTAAGTGGCCATTCCTGGATCTTCTGTCCATTCCTCATCCTTTTCCTTCTTCTGTGAAAGATTCCCAAGAGATAAGCAGCATCTTTTCATTTTAAGATTAGTAAATGAAAAATAAAAATTGTGTTGGACAATGACGACATTCTTTATCTGAGAAACAAAGCTTTTTCAAACTCTAGTTTAAGGCTTGTTAATATGAACCTAATGCATCACCTGCAGATATTAAGAGCAACATGCACATGTGTCTCTTTAACAACCAAAGGAATTAAGACTAACAGTCCAGCATCTTCCTCCTTTATTTCCAGCCCATATAATCACATGATAGACTAATATGTTTTTGCTAATGTTGTACAAGAACCATTGTTTTACAGTTAGCAAGCAGATTCTTTCGAGCACAGATCCTTGTATGACCTCTTTGTTTTCCTACCTCTTTCTTCTGGACCAGAGAAAGACTTTGGAAGAAGAAAAAAACATGTTTGTTACATTTTGCTTTCCTCTTTTATAGCAAACAGCATCTCCTTGTGAAACTCTACTTAACTTCATTCAAAGTTGAAAACCTGATTTAATTCTGAAAAAGCAGGACATTTTAAAATTTTAGTTCCATTATAGTAACATAGCAAGAGAAGGTAAAATTTTGAAGGGCATGATGATCAGAAATAATTTTATGTGTAAACCGTTCCTTGATATACCTTTTCCTTATGGGTCCAGCATGTTAAAACTTTATTTACTACCAAGAAACAACTGTAAATTTGTGTATTTATACATTGCCACTGTGTTCTGTTTCCAGTCATATTCATACAAAAAATCTTTAAGAGAAAATAATAACCTATTAAAAAGAAATACTCCACTCACCATATTCTAAGGAAATGCAGTGCAATTATTTAGAATCTTGGTTGATTAACATTCAACTATATAAGTGATTAAATAATGTGTCACAGAATTTATCTTATGTATTAGCAAAAAAAGTACAAAATACAAGGCTAAATCTTTACTTAGTTGCAAGTAAGAATATCTTAATGACACCCAACCAACAGTTTTCAGTTCTGTAGAAAAATAACTAAAATGTATAAATGAAAAACAAAATTAGAACAGTTCATTCAAATCAAAGTCTCTGCTTGCAGACTTAAGTTGTAATTAAAACTGGTAATTTATATAATATTGATTTTAACTGAAATACCTCACCATCACTGGAATATCATCTCTTTATCTAGGACAGTTCTTTCTATACTGTTATGTACATCATAACAAAGTCTGGCAGACTCTTTTTGCACAGTAGAACCTTATTTGCTCAGATAGTTACAGCTCCCTTTGAATCTTGACTGCACCTTGATTACGTATATGCCCTTTTCTTGGTCTTGACTAGTGAGTCATCTTGTATCCACAAGGAAAGCCATGGTGAAGAGAATTGCTCTTCCCATTGCTTTTACCATGTCGTATTGCCATATTATCTTTGTCTTTACTAACTTTGTTAGCTTCACTTTTTATCTCATCAGGTACAAGCCCAAAGGCCCTCAGCGTCAGTCTGATCCTGCCCAAACTGTTGTTTCTCACTTACTCTTGAGACACTGATTCCCAGTTCCCACCTGACTAGGCCATTACACTAGCTTTTGCTGCCAACAAGCTGTGTGTTGAAGTAGACAATATTTCATTGATTTTCCTCTGCTGCTCTCAGGTTCGGAAGGCTCTCCTTGTCAACATTCACAAATATACCTATCAACTGTCATCTCCTACATTACACTCTATTATGATGCCAAAGCTGTCAATTTTTAAGCTGCTGGCATTGTTCTTGTTTTCCTGGTGTAGTCTCCTCTTGTTTTTCAGCGTGTCACTGAAAAAAAGAGAGGACACCACTATCTTTTACTGCAAGTCCATTGGAACATTTCTGTGTTTTTCTGTATTTATGTAAGCCACCATAAAATAAATTTCTGGTCTATGTGTGAGTACTGCAGTAGTACAAACAGCTAATAATGAAACACTGGCATGCTCTTGAACAGCAACAGGAACGGTCTGATGTCTGTAAATGGCTCAAGATAAAATTATGTTGTAATTGTACCTCCCTAGCATGACTCTGCTTGAATATGGGTCCTTGGTCTTCAAGCCTGTTCTTTCTCATCTCAGTTGTGACTGCCAAATCAAGGAGCTGGCTGAATCAGCTCAGTTCATCTATTTGTTCAAGCCCATCCCCAAGGTATCTCAGTACCAGCTGTGATGCATTTTTATTGCTGTTTCTTTTCTTAATTTACAGATCTGTTCATCACAAACTGGACTTTTAACAAAAGGTCTCCAAATGACCATCAGATAGGAGTATCTTTTATTCACTTCTGCCTTCATCAAGACATCTGCTGTAAAAGCAATGTCCCCATAAATTATTTTTAATAGGAAAGTAAAGCAAATGTTAATATCTCATTAAGCATTTGGATCAATAATATGTTTATACTTGGAACAAATTTTCCAAAGACCAGATTTTCAAGAAAGATCACTTTGAGATCAGATTTTTTTGTTCCCAGAAACTGTGGTTGAGACCAGGCTTTTAAGAATGCTGTTTTCTCATATAAACACCTAAACAATGGCCAGGATTACAAAACACTCAGTGTACAGCAGCTCTTGTAGAAATCTTTCAAGTTTCAAAGATTTTCAGAGATTCCAACATGCCGTATTCACTGGAAAATCAAATGACTTATATTGGAAGCTAAACGTGACACCGTTTGTAAACTGTGGACCAAATGGTGGTTTTGACGAACTGTGTCAGTCTTTAATGTAGTCTCAGAAAACATACACAACCGGGTTGTATAATACATGTATGTTTTCTTTACTTTTGTGGATTTCTAAGGAATTGAAGGTCCAAGCTGTTTTACCCCAGGATTTTGTCATACAGTACTGATGCTTTTGTTCTTACAGATAGAGCAGTGATATGAAGATAGCTCACAGAGAACCAATACTGCTGCAGTGCAAGCATATAATCTATATCGACTGCAAAGCACCCTTCTCCTGGAAGATGAGCATAACTCAGTGGAGTAACACTACATAAAATCGAAGTTGGAAATAATGTATGATTTGTTGCCTTTTGCAGAATAAATCCCTGTAAAGAGAAACTCAGTATGTTTTGAGAACTGAGAGTTTCCTTTCCAGTCTATGCAGAGACCTGTGTTGTGATTAATCAAAACCCAGGAAGTTGTCATTCAGAAACGTGGGACGACAGACAACACAAGGTGTCTTTTGTCTCATTTTTGGACTCACTGACTGTGCTGATGCAGGTGGTCAACTCATTCAGATGCTTTCATAAACTTCAGATTTAAACAGCTCCATTTTTTGTCCATGCTATTGCTACTAAAATTGTTTGAGAAAACACCCATTTTAATTGTTAGAAAGTTTCCCTTAATTTCCAGTCTAAACGTATTTCAAGCCACTGTTTATTCCTTTCTACTTGTGCCAGCATTGTCCTTCAGCCATGCTCTCTCCTGGCTGTATACCAACTTGTCACATTCATTGAATGCACTCAGACTAAGGCTCTGTTTTGCTAGGTTGAACAAGAACAGCTGTCTCATGACGCTCTTAGCAGCCCTATCTGCATTCATTCGAGTTTTGAATTCATCCTTCCTGAAGACAGATGAGCAGATCTGTACATATGCAGGCTTCCAGATCTTGCTTACTGTACAATGTCAGCAGCACCCTGTGCATGAGGCCTTCTAACAAAGACAGAGTAGAAATCAGAAGGAGAAGGAAGAAAGGGCCAGGTGTAACATCTGACCTAAAGTAACCATGTTCAAATATTTCACATTGGTTCCAAGATAAAAAAGGAAACACACAAAAAAAAACAACAACCCAAACCCACTGACTATCATTTTACACTGCTAACTGCCCAACTGCATTGTAAGAAGTAAACTATTAAGTCAAGACAGAATATCTGAAACATCTTCACTGTTAGCTGCATATTTTATTATTTTCTTATTCTACAGAAGACTTGTAAAGTGAATAGGCATACTGGTTTCTATGTTCCCTTATGCTTTTTGTATAGATATTTTCTAACAATTCAATGGTTACTCTTCTAAAATCCTGTCTACCTCCTAATCCTGAAGCCATGTTAGGATATCTTTTCTATAAATGAAAAAAAAATTATAAAAAATGGCAGCTTTACGAATTAGGAGCTTTCCTCTGCCACTAAACATACGTGGGTGAAAGCCTGCACCTCTCACATCAGTCTGCTGGCATGGGATAGCCTGGCTGACTTGGTGAACAGTCTCTGACCAAACAGAGCTTTACCTAGAGCAGCTTTCCTTTTAAGAAGACTTGGATTCAGCCTCATTTACATAGTTCAGGTGATGAATAGAAGATATACTATTCTTAGAAGAACTGTTTTTAGCCAGCAAATAACTCAGATGGACTGAGACCTACAAGAAGATTCTCGCGAGCCAGGCAAAAAAAACCAACACAACTTTTATGTATTGTGCTCATAGATGATATACAAAGCTTGGGGTTGTAGGAAGCCAACAAGACACAGAAGAGGGAGAACAGTCTGCCTTGTCTCTCACAGGGAGTGGTTTGCAAAACTGGTCTGTTGAAAGACTTCTGTATAAGACCCTGGAAGACGAAATAAAGCAAAGACCTCTGAGAACAGGAACCTAGAAAATTTGAGTTTGAAGAACAATCTCTTGTACACAAACTGGAGTGTTGGTCAGCAAGTATGCATACTCAAAAGACCAGAGCTTATGATTCCCTTTTTCCTTTTCCGTTTATCCATCAGAAAAACAAAAGATTAAATTTAAAGGCAGAGTTAAGCGACAGCTGATAAAGCGTATGGGAAAGGACCTCTGAACCCAACATACTCTGACCTGAACGTTTGCCAGCTCTCAAGGTCAGTTATCAGGTGGGGGAAAAGCATTATACACATGGATCCTATGAATTCATTTGGAAACAGGACGACAAATTGTTTCCTTCACTGAAACACGTGAGAAAACCTAAGAGGATCTCAGGTCTGCTATAAACGGTATAGGAACATTTCAGAAGCTTATGCTTCATGTCTCCCACAACACCCACAGCACCCACAAAAGAGCTCTGGCTTCCTGCAGTGCAGTTATTTATCAGAGTTTTATCACACAGACCTGACTGATGGTATGCAAAATGAAACTTCTGCTTACTTTTTTCCAGGCCATATCTTACAAATGGTTACTGAACCTTTCACTTCTTCAACCCCAAGGTAAAAATGAAATGTGAAATTATCTACCAGAATCACGGAAAGATATTTAGCTTCCCATGATTAAAAAAAATAAATTTAAAAATAATATAAACAGAACTCAGATACAAACTCAGTGTTCTCTTGTATTTCTGAATGCCAGAGACATCCTGGGAGGATAAGGAGGAGCTCTGACACAGTACCAGGGGTTTTTAAAATGTGCAGCAAGCATGCTGTATCATCATACTATGTCCCTGTACCTACAACAGCTACAGTTTTGACATCTATTCTACTGATGTTGCTTTTGCTCTTCTCTACCACTATTGTAGGGGACAGGAGGCAGGAAGCCTCCTTGGATCCCATATGCGATGCTCATACCCCACTGTGAACCTGGAGCGCTGGGGTCTGTAGGGTCTACTATAAGACAAGTGCCATAGGTCAGGAGCCCTGGAACGACAGCATGGTCCAGACTGCTGGCCAGACAGCCTGCAGGTACTTTGGCACACTGCCTGTCCACTTGCTGCTCTGCATCCCTTCCAGGGTGCTCACAGAGAATGGCTACAGTTTAACTTTGTGTTTTCTGCAAAAGACAAAAGATGGTAGGCACTTTTAGTCAAATCAGAAAAAAAGATAAAAATCAGAATTTGAGCTGGTGCATGTGTAATGTGAACAAATGATCTAGAAAAAAAGATCCAGGCTCTGGTTTCTCCTCTGCAAAGTTTTATCACTCAATTACCTGTTTTTGTAAAACTGTCACCAGCTTCTTATTATCCTGCCATAAAGGAGAAATTTCCTTTTAAACATCCCACTCAGATGACTGACATATCATTACTACAAACAGTAATAGTTACACTATGAAATTTCCAAAGGGATTTTTCCCCCCAAATATGAAAGGCACCTGCAAGCTGACAAGCAGCAGAGGGGGGCAAGGTTTGTAGAGCTGTCTGGCAGCACAGTGAGCAGTTTTCAAGCTTTTTCTTTATACCCTTGTGCTTAATTTGTTTCTGGGCTGTATGGCTGGGCCTATCATTTGCCCTGTTGACACTGCGTTTCTGTGGCTCATGCTGAAACAGCTTTTTTTCTGTAACTTAATTTAACCCCTAACATATTCCCAGTTCTTTCAAGCATTGTGCCAGCTCTCATCACTTGATCACCATGCATGTCACCCTTTTTGAACTTTCAGTGTCAGCAGTTATCATATTTATATTGGAAGTTCATTGTCAAGACCCACTTGAACTGGAGAGCAAATAAAGACCACCACAATTTCATAGAAGAGTTTTAAAATAACCTCATAGCTCTCAGGGGCTAAGATGCATTTTTAGGAACATTTTGATTTGGCAGGAGTTTGAACTGCAGCACAGCGAGCTACTAAACAGCAGGAATTAATCCTGTCTTCAGGTCTTATAAACATGCAAAGTGTATATAACTTCCTTTAAGATTTACACACAAGAGTTCATGACTCTAAAAAGCCTAACATCAGCCTCTGTACAGATGAACAAGAACCCATTTTTTGTGGCAGCCTGGACAGTATTCATTCCACCTATCTCAGTTCTTCTGACAGAGGACTGTGATGTGAAACAGGAGCATGCTTTATGGTCTGAGCAGAATATACCACCCTAGGTATTCCTGCAGTCCTGCTGCAGCTCTGGTTTTGATGCTCTGTGAGGTGGCAGATAAATATTAATATATAATCAAATAAATATAAACCCATTAGCAGTTCATTTCTCACTCTGTCAGTGGCTGTAGGTGCAATGCATGCATATGGCACCTGCTATAAAAAAGCACTGAGGATTAATCTGCTAGGTGAGATTACTCTGTGGTCCTTACTCTTGCACTGAGTTAACAGACTGGCTCACCTTCTTGCTTAATGTAGTATGAAGGGACTGGAGCGATAGTTATATATTCTTTGGCACCGAGCCTACTCCTGTACAGCAATCATTTCAAATTTCTTTAAGGTTAGTGCAATATATAGGGTGTGCAGAGTGTAATAAGGTGTTTGAAACAGATACTGAACTTTCCCCTTTTCATTAGAGTTCTACATTCTGCAGAGTCAGCTAGATGGGATTTCAGAAATGGGATTTTAGAAATGTGTATTTCCAAAAAAAAAAAAAAGCACCTTAGGAAAACTTCCAAAACCTGACAGTTCCAGAAGGCTGTATTTAGGGATGCATAAAATAATAAGTGATCTGATCTAACCCCAAAGTTAACCTGAACCATTTTAAAGGACTTTTCCATGGCTTTTGCAACTCTTTTTTCCTGACCCAATACACATCTGGTTCTAGTTGGCATCAAAAGATAGATGCATTTAAATGTCATGAAAAAAGCTAATGTATTTCTGGCTTGTTGGGAGACAGGATGTACTAGAAATCTCATAAGAAAGGCAGTTCTCCTTGGATATCCAGCCACTTTTTACATAGTTAAGTGATTTACATAGTTCAGAGAAGAATTCAAATTGTTGTTAGCTGAACTGGCCCTCTCAACCTCCAGAGGCTCATTCATCACTAGGTAGAGGTTACTAGAAAACATTGGAAAGACTGCTCAGTCTAACAGCCAGCCATGAAGTTCTCGGTCTTTTGTATCCTTGCTCTTTCCTGTAGAAAAATCCAATAAATGGAACAGCGTTTACGAATGCTTTTTTTTTTTTTTTTTTTTTTTCGGTTAGAAGAAGTGGTCCAGTATTCAAGATGCTAGAGAAAGAAGTTTATAAGCAGTCAAAACCCATGTGATTCCACCTTAGTGTTTACCTTTTCTTTATTCAGTCAAGCTCCTTTACCAAGGTGAGTCTGAATACAAAATTAATATGGACCTTGGGATTTAGTGCCTAATAAATATTATCAGTATTATGTGCATTTTATTTATAAAAAAATCCTAGGGTCATAAAGTACATTTTCCATAAATGACCTAGGTTCATTTTGCTGTAGCAAGATATTTCCTTGAATATTTCTGAAGAACTTGGAATACAAGTGTTTAAGATGTAATCAAAACCACTCAAAATGAGCTGCTGAAGTTATTTTCAAAATGACACATAGTTTTCAAGTAGCTTAAACACATTTGAACATTTACGCCACAAGCCACATCTGCAATGATATTGCAAGGTGATGCATATGCTCTTAGTGTCTTCTTTCACAAAAGGAAAACCTGAAACCAGAGCTTGCCCTCAGCTTCAAGGAAATGCTCACAGGGAATTAAGAAATCAAACATCTCTGTGTGTATTGTCATGCTCAGACCATGCTTCTCTTTATTACCTTACTATATCCACAGTAAAAAGCATGCCTACCAGCGGTGAAATACTGATGTTTCACATGTCTATCTTCTCGGCAGGTTCTGCTGGCATCCTTGTTGCAGAACAGAACTCACAGCATGTTAGTGTTAATGGAATAACATGTTAATATTTTAAGCAGGTGAAAAACAGTTTGCGATAAATGTGTTCATTTACCTTTTTGATCTTCTTTTTTTCCTTCCAATGCAGAAGCTTTCTCTGATGAAGTACCATTATCTCCACTGGCTTTTACTATGTTTTCTTCTTGTATGGTGTCTTCACCAATGGCTACGGTGTGTCCATTTGAAGTTTCAAAATTTACTGTTACATCACCATCTGAAATGAAAATTAAAAAGCCATTGTCTAAATTAACTACTTGCTTAGCACCCATTGACAACACACAACATCTCTCTACTTTCAAGTTTCCATGGAAGCAAAACAGAAAGATTTACTGAAATGTAAAACAGGCTATAAATATGCTCTGAAAACTCAGGACCTCTGTAGGCTGTCAGCCACTTTGGGTGGGTACTTCTTCTGGAGCAGGCCTACTTTCCAGGTCTGTCATCATGAGTCCGTCTTGGGGTATGAACTCACTACACATCAGCATCCCATACTCTTCCTCCCCACATCATGGTTTACACAGCTAAGAAACGTGTGTACCCAGCTAATGAATGACTTTATTATTAATAAGTAAATATCCAATCTTAAGAACCAAGGTAAGGTCCTCCTGTATCATATCACATACTGCTATTAAATCTTGCAAGCCCAATTCTTTCCCAGCTCTGATGATATTTTACTCACTTACCTGGACTACCCCAGCTATGTCTTCTTTTTCCTCATGAAAAAAAAAAAAAAAAAATTCTTGTCCTTATTTGTATCTGTATTCCTGAAAAATGCTACATACTCTTGCTGGCTCATAGCTTTCTCTGTTCCCTGATTGCTGTTCACTATTCCATGCATTTTAAAAATGTTGCTGATTTTCTTCTCTGTTTGTATCTCAGATTTGTTATCTTTATGTTGCTCGCACCTCACCTGCAGTTCACAGAGATGATTGCTTTCCTCCTATAAGGTGCTCTTGCCATCCATTCAAAAATTATGCAACTTTACCTGGCATCTCTTCTGGTTCCTCCTGTTGTTTCTTCATTAATCATGCATGGTTCTTCTTCTCCTCTTCTTCACTGCTGTATGCTGTCAGACTTGGATTTTGGCAGTTCCCTTGTTTCAATACAATTACGTAGATTTTCTTTTACCCCCTTAGGCTGCTCAGTGGGTTAAGCTGATGGTTTCATTTTCACCAAACGCTAACTTTATGTGTACAAACAGTGTGTAAAAACTAAGTTCTGCCTTCTTAACCTTGTCTCATTTACTATAGCTGCTATTTGCACATGGCTTCCTTCTTACCTGACAGCAACATTCAGCATCAGCTTTTTCCTTCCAGATGTTCATAAATCCACTCCGACCTTTCTGCCTCCACTTGTAACACTTCCACTTTTTTCACATTCTGCAAACATCTCATCTATGCCCCTGCCGTTTTCCACCTCCTCCTTCTTCATCCCTTGTGAAACTGTCACTTCTTCACGTTTCTTACCTCTTACATTTCAATACTGCATGTCATTTCTTCATCTAGATTTCATCTCTGTAGTTATTCCTTCCAACTCTCTTCATTGCCCAACTGCTACCTGTCCTATATCTGTTTTTAGAGATTCAACATATAATCTGTCCTATATCTCTGTTTTTAGAGATTCCTTCAAACCAAACCTATATTCCTTCCAACTGCTCCTTAAAGATTATCATTTTCATCACACGTGAAGCACAATCTGATGAAGGCAGCACAGACTGGACTGATGGCCTTCTTAAGAGGGGAGGAAGGGGTGAAATTTGTTCACCATTACATCCTTCTCTCACTTTGTTCTGAGCCAAGAGGACTGTACAGTCTCTGTAAGGGATACAAAGTGCCATCCCCTTTTAAGAGTGGAATAGCAGGTTGAGGACACTAATGACCAAGTAACACATTTCATTAAGTGTCCCAAAACTCTAAATGCAATTTGCAACCATCAGTCAGCAAAGTCACATAGCTGCCCAGAAAGCATGTAGCAAAAAATATACACATTCACAGATGGACAAATAGAGGTATGGAGAGCTTACATTTCTTGTTTTGAGTCAAAGACAGTGGCAGAGACAAGTTAAGAAGCCAGTTATGCTGGACATCATAGTCTAGTAATTAGACAAACACTGTAAATACAAGTGATGTCACGTGTCGACAAAAAAACCCTTTACTTCCAAGTATCAGTGTGCACAATTCTTCAGCTGAGACAGAGTAATATAATTACTAGGTGAAACCTGTTTTTGGAAAACATGGAGTTCATGGAATTCTTGGTAAAATGATGAATGCTTCAATTTTAAGCTACTGATAATTATTTCAATCAATTGTATTTTAATTACATCTAGATTTATAGAAGCTCAAGAATATTAGAAAGAATACCACTTTTCATTTCAGAACATTTCAGAGCATTTCAGAAACATAATCAGACCTAGCACACAGGTATTGACCATAGTTTACTCATGCTTTTCCAAGCACAAACCCTGGTTATCTGTTATTAACCTCAAATTGTTTTGAAACAAGTGGTGTCTTCCTCACAGACTTCTGTTTGTGCCATTTGTGAATATGGTCTGTGCGATAGTGATGGGATCTACATGATCCCAGCACTGGTATTTTTGATATGTGAAATATCTTTGTTTACAGGGAGCATCAAAATTCTCGAGGATATGGCCAGAACTCAGATGGTGCATCCCGGCAGGAGCGGTTATAGAACGTGTATCTCTTGACTCCAACTTGAATTATTCAGCTGGCTCAAATTACCTTTCACACTTTTCAGCTTCTCCTTATACCTATTTATACTACACAGAAACAATGCAATAGGGGTTTTAGCATCCATTTTTAGCATTTAGGAACTAATTTCTAGGTAACGTGTTATCACCTTGCTCGGGCATTTCCTTCAGCACTCCCCTTCTTATCAGCTCCTCTCTGCTTTGTCTTGTCGAAATCTTCCTTTCCAACACTACAGAAAAAGCACAGTTAAGAATAGGTTTATTCTCATACTTGTTGATGCTTGTGAAAAATGTAGAAAAAGACTTCTAAGAAACCCTGAGAAATATTGTTTCCTCTGACTCTGCAGGAGAAGTGGCCTGGGTTTTCATGGACACCCTCTGAAAACATTCTCGCACAACTTCAGCCACGGAAGGTGGGAATCACCTGATCCAATGTCTACAGCTGAGCCAGACTCTATGAGGCTTCCTTTACAGTTAATAGGAAAAGGTGCTTCCAGAGTGAAACTCAATTCATCCTAGTTTAGACATTTAATATTTAAAGGCACCTCTTTCTCACTAACTAGGGTGATTAGGTCAACCAAAGATACAATCATCTGTTTTTGTAGATGTTTTGAGTTCGGAGAGAGTGCTCAGAACAAGCAATATCCTCAGTCAAGTCACAAAGATGCTCACAGAGTAGCCTTTACGACATACAAGCTGTTTTAAATGAAAAAAAAAAAAAACAAAAAACACAAAACAAAACAAAAAATCTTAAACAGAAGTTAGAAAGTTCTGTTCAAAAATGGAATAACACTCTCATCCAGGCTGGTTGGCTGTCATGGAAAAAAATGCAGCATCCTGTTTTTAGGTTTAAAAAAAATGCATACAACACACACAAAAAAAGACTGCGACATCAAACATTTTAATTATTATGTTTATTTCCCATGAGAAAATGTTAAATAGTTTTATAGGGAAGAGCATTTACAAATGGCAAAATAGACTAATTCCCCACTCCACTCCACCCCCAAACCAATACGATTTTGGTCAGCAATCTGGGAAGCCACTGCAATGATTTATAGAACCATGGTGCGTGGTCCAGAAAATGTGAACATCACTGTTGTAAAATCTCCTTTTCATTGCTTTGTTAGTAAAAGTTAATCACCCATCCTGATTCTGTTTACATATGGGCATCGAAACCCAAGTAATGTTTGGAGCACAAGCTGCGATCACACAGCAAAACTTCAGCAGTGCTGGACTTCATCCTATTAATGCTGTGGGATAGGGTGATTTATCTCATCAACTAATTCAAACACTCTGGTAATCCAATTACTCTCTAGTGCAAGTCTAATTGCTGTATGTAGATTAAATGCTGCAAGAGGTACTGTCCATCTCACTTGAGCTGGCCTAGTTCGAAGGAAGCAGTCATACGGCAAAGTGAGTGCTAGTGTGAGGACACACAAGAGTCCTCAGAAGTGCCGAAACGTGGGTGAGAAATTTACCCTGTGTGTATAACAGCTGACAAACACCTCTCCCAGCAGCAGGTAGGTGCGGCTGCTGGCTTGCAACCAATCTGGCTGAGCTCAGACACCTGAAGGAATTGCAGCTCTCCAGCAGAGACTCCCCTTCTCTGCCAGGGAAGGGGATAGTTGAACAGAACACGAAGCAGATTCTTCACTTCTCAAATTTACAGCACTAGTTTTATTTCTCACACTGCAAAACGTGGGGATTCAGCAACTGCTCCATGTGGGATGCATTTGCCTGCCAAAAAAGGACCATCTTCTGGAGGAAGAATTGGTGGTACTAACTATTATGACCATCCTGGTTTAAGCTACCCACTCCTTTAAAATCAAGAGCTCATGAATGAAAACAATATTGGCTCAAGAACATGTAAGTTGGTTTCAGATCTGTATTTTTATATACATTGTAAAGTCTCTCTCTAAAAGGTCTAACTTTTGCTGTGTTCAGATAAAACGGAGCCCATGAGCATCATTGTACAGCTGCGCAAGCCAACCTATGCCAGTCTTGTTCCAGCTCTCCCCCTCATCTGCCCACTCCCGTGTCCTCCCCAGTGCTGTTAGTGGGACCTGACCCCATAGTTAGCCACCACCACAAGCTGCCCATTAAACCAGCACACCAGGAGTGACTTTCTGCTAGTCTAACTCCCTCAACTGGCTCCCAGCACATTTGGTTGAACAAGAGTGTGGCCATAAGGCAGGGCACTGGAGAGGTAGGGGCACGGTGCTGCCAACTTAAGTTGGCTTCCTTTATGCTGGAAATTGATCCTAACCCTGATAAGCATCTGCTTGGACTATACTGCTCACAAAAACTACTGTTGGTGCAAAAGTCACGGCAGAAAGGCATAGCTAGGAATGGGGGAGAGGATGGCAGCCCAAATGCAGATCAGTTGAGAGTGCCCTGGGTTCGATTCCTAAATTAAACAGCAGTTCTTCCATTTTTTCCCCATAACTTTTAAAGGTATATATCCTGCAACTGTGTGCCACACAAGTTATTGGCACAGCAAACAAAACATGGGAATGTGCCCTGTTCTAGCAAGGAGCTTTTCATGTAGGTCAGCTCCCACAAAGACTTCTGGAAAAGACAATGGGGACAATAAAGCCTGAAGACTGCAGGCAGGCACTGATAGAGAGCTATAATCATTCCAGAAAGTATGTGTATTTATCAGCAGAGTGCAATTTCCTTTGATATAGACCCCAAGGATGAACTCTTTGTGCATGTACTTTATACCTGTTTTGTCACTGGCAATGTAAATACTCCCTTATTATTATTTCAACTTTGCAAGTATAATTTACTTCCTACCTTTTTTCATCTCTGCTTCCTTTTTGCATCTGTTTTACAATGAAATCAGATGCTCTCGCATGTATTCCTTTTTGTGAGATTTAATCCAATACTGGTTGAAAACAATTACGTCCTTTCCCTCAAATTCAATAACATTGGATCTGATCCCCTCATCAATGTGTCTCTCTAGTTTTCAGGATGATGTGTTTTTTTTTTTTTTTTTTTTTTTTTTTTTTTTTTTTTTTTGTTTTTTTTTTTTTTTGTTGTTTTTGTTTTTCTTTTCTACAACACTGAATTAATAATTGTACCAAACTAAACAATGAAGAGTCATGGAAAATGTCACATGGAATTAAAAGACATTAACTCCTTACACTTCCACTGGAAGACCTCAAAGCATTTTATTAACATTATATAGGTCTTGTGACATCCCTTAGATATAACTATCTCCATTTTACAGATTAGAAAATTTATGAACAGATAAGCAGCTTAAGCCCCAATCCTTAATCATCTAAAATGCTAGCCACAAGTGTTGTTTTTATTTAAACTGATAAAGCTCAGTTAATTCAGCTTAAAAAGATAATTTACTTAAAATTCACTAGCTTTCATTATGAATATATTTTAATTCCTACAAACAGGCAGAATTTAAATTTAAATAAAAGTGATCAAAAATATGTACTCTTGTGTAAGAGGAATGAGTAGACTGTCTACTTAGGAACCTGTACTGGTTGCTGTTTAGACAGGTGGACTCATTATTTAATGCTTATTAATGTCTTTGGACTATATAACATTTCACAAACAACTATTTTGATTATCTAGCCCAACTGCACTGAGCTTTAAGGGTCTCAAACTATTTAGTTGTGCAGATCACACTAGGCTACTGTTATGTTTCAGTAAACTCTCCTAAAATAATGCTCTTTTTTACAAAGTCAAGCATTCAGAAGTTAAAAAATGTTTCAATGAGGGCTGACAAGTGTGCAGATGGTGCTGCTTTTATTTGCTTGTTATGTTTTACCTTTGCCACCCCTGCCTCATTTAGTATACAGACTGCACTGTGTTCAGTGAATGGTTTCTTTGACTAAATTTTTAACTTTACCTTACCTTTTGACTGTGGCTGTGACCTAATATGAGGAGCAACCTAAACATTAATTTGAACAGAAAACTATTAGTTTTACCAAACTGAATCAAAGAAAGCAAATTCTTCTCCTTGATGCCCATGTGAGATGCAAATTGGGCAACTTTTGGCCATAGCATAATTGAGTCATATTATCAAACATTGTTGACATTTAAAAAGTGTATAATTCAAGGTAAATTTTCAGGTATAATTTCCCACTTAAAATTGTGATAATTCAACCACCACCAACAAACACAATAAACAAACAACAACAACAACCACCCAACAATAGAAGCCATAGGAATTCTAGTTGAATTGTTATTTATAAAGTCAACAGAAAGAAAGTCATAAGCATAGGTGATCTCCTGCTGAGCTAATGCCATAGACAACTGTAGAAACAGTTATCATCTATCTGAACCACCTGGGATAGGTATCACTATTTGTCACCTTTGAAACACTTAAGTCTCCTGAATTCGGTACAGGAGGAGGACTGTAGTTTGGTGCTTACACCACTGTCCCTCTTGGCATGCTCCCTCCTCTCATCACCTCTGTAACAACTTCATCAGGGACTTTCTCCTTCACTTGAAAGAGCTAATCCTCTTTAGTTTCCAGACCTAACTCTCTTCTTTCCTTCTTCTATCAGAACTTGCCATACAATTTTCATGTGCTTCTCCCATAAGCACACCTTTGTCTCTTTCTTTCTGATCTTCATTCCTGCAATCTCTGATCTTACAGGTTATTACCTATTCCCCACTTAGGAGCAGAAAGCTAGTACTATCCTTGAAGAAATATATGACAAATATTGTTAGCTGTACCACCACGAAGTGGACATCCTTAAGCTGAGTAACCCACTGATCTTATTAACACAAATCTTTTCTGTCACAGGTGTATCAGCTCTTGTGAGACCCCACCTAGGATACTGCATTCAACTCTGGGGCTCCCAGCACAAGAAGGACATAGATGTATTAGAACGAGTCCAGAGGATGGCCACAAAGATGATCCAGAGGCTTTAGTACCCTTCCTATGAAGAGAGGCTGAGGGAGGTGGGGTTGTTCAGCCTGGAGAAGAGAAAGCTTCAGGGAAACCTCACTGTGGCCTTCTAGTACCTAAAAGGGGCCTACAAGAAACATGGGGAGGGACTCTTTGTCAGGGAGTATAGTGATAGGACAAGAAGTAGTGGTTTTAAACTAAGAAAGTGTAGCTTTAGATTAGATATTTAGAAGAAATTCTTTACTCAGACTGTGGTGAGGCCCTGGCACAGGCTGCCCAGAGAAGCTGTGGATGCCCCTTCACTGTGTGCCCCTTCAGTGTTGGATGCTGGGTTGGATGAGGCTTGAGCAACCT